GAGGGTGGGGGGAGAGGAGTGACCACTAATGGAAAGTCGGGGAGAAAAGGAGACCACTAAGGGAGGTGGGGGGGGGAGAGGAGAGACCACTAAGGGGCGGGGGAGATCTCTAAGGGAGAGCTCTATAGGACAGGGGGCAGGACAGGGAGCTCTTTCACACCACGCGCACACACACACACACACACACAATGCATCCCTATACACACAGAAACACAACATGCTTCCCTTACACACAGAGAAACACACAATGCAACCCTTAGACATAAAGACAATGCATCCTTTGCACACATACACAGAAACACACAATGCATCCCTTACACACATATGCAAACACACACTGCTTCTCTTACACACACACAGAAACACAATGCATCTCTTACACACACTCAACGCACCCCTTACAGACAAACACACAATACATCCCGTATACACAAACACTCACTGCTTTCTATCCCTTACACACAAACACACTGCATCACCTACACAAACTGGTATCCCTATACACTACATTCCATAAGCACACACATTAGATCCTCTACAGTAACACATAACACATCCCCTACACACTCTACTCCCTGTGAGCGGACTCATGTAGGTGGACTTATGGGTGGGCTTTATGGGCATACTCACCGTCAGGCCCTGGGGCCCAGACCTTGAGCTATGTAAGAGGCCCCACAAAATTGAGCTGCTTCCCGTTCTCCCAGAACATTGAATTTTGTGACCACAGTTACAAACAGCCTCCAGAGATCCTGTTCTACACCAGACCAGTGGAGCAAGACTGCAGCCACAGCCCATCATCATCCTCATCTGATTGTAAGTAGGCAATCTAGTATATTATTAGTGACACTAATCTCTAATTTACCTCACAATAAATGGACACTATAGTCCCCAGAACCACTGCAGCTTAATAAAGTTGTTCTGGTTTCTATAGTTTGTCCCTGCAGGCTTTTTAATGTAAACACACACTGTGTGCAGCACTGGCACTAGTTCATATGGCAGATCATATGGGTGGGGCATTGCGAGGTCCCGGCGGGGGGGGGGGCGGCAAATCTTTCTTTTGCCTAGGGCGGCAAAAATCCTTGCACCGGCCCTGGTGGAAATCTATTCACAAACAGGACTTTACATAGGACACAAGGTCATGCGTTTAGACTGGAAGAAAGAAGATTTTGTCTAAGGCAAAGGAAAATTCTCTCTTGACCCCAGAATGGCAGTCAGAATAATTCTTGGATCAAAAAGCATTTAACCTACATTGAAAAATAATATCCTTGAATATTCTGTTCTTGCAAGTATGCATGTAGCTGCTGTTTGAACATCTGTATGGACTCTGATAAAACCACTTCTTCAGACAGAGAATTCCACATCCTTATTGTTCTTACAGTAAAAACCTTTTTTCCTAGTTTGTTGCAAAATTGGAAGTGCTTCAAACTGGATTTTATTTATTTTTTGCCTTTTTAATCAACAGCTAAAAAAAAATACGAGGAAGGCTGAACTTGGACACGTTTCTTTTCAGCCTATGTAACTAACTATGTACATCTCCCACTGTATTTTTATCAGATTAGCCTTTGTAACATAGTATTCGTTTGAGGGATAACAGGGAAGGTGCGTATGTTGGCTGTTCCCTGCACTTTTACGAAAAATAAAGAACAGATTACTGTAACAATGCAATGTTTGTATGCCCAGGACACACTTGAAAACAAGAGAAATCTTAATGTATATCTTATGAAATATGCATTTGTAAAGGCTCCCTAGAGGGTGAGATTGTGTTATATGTGCGATTGTAGGTCTTCATTACTCTGCTCTGGCATCATTGAAATCCATAGAAGAAAACCGTTAATTTCAACCAAATAGATGATGTTGCTATTGTCTTTATTTCTACAGGACTGATAGCTCTTTCAACTTCTTTGCATTCTTCATCATCTTCTTCTGCCAGATTGCGATTTACATCATTCAGTCTGTTGGAATCCCTGGCTGGGGAGACAGGTGAGAATCGTGCTACTTACTGTTTCACTCTCCACGGTCTTCTGAAATACTACGTTGCTTATTCTTACTCTGTCTTTTGCAGTGGATGGATAATGGCTCTAACAATGGTTAAAGAGCACCTCGCTGTTGCTGTGATAATGATGGTGGTGGCTTCATTCTTCACATTTATAAGCGTGTTCTCCCTTATTATGCTTAAGAAGGTAAGTGCTAACCAAACATGTTCACACTTGTCAGCTATTGAACACTGCTAAACCAGCACACAATGACTACCTGTAATCCATGCTTGTTTGGGTGTTGTGTTTTTTTTTTGTTTGTTTTTTTAGTAAATTGGATTTTATTTTTTATTTTTTACACAAAACACACATTTCCTGCAGATGAAGCGTTTATACAAGATTCAGTTTTGTCAATTCACTGTACTATTCACCCAATCATGTAAGTTTTTTAAACCTGTAAATATAGAACATACGTGCACTATAACGGTAATAAAGTGTCACGTAGAGCATTGTGGGTCATACAGTTAGGCGAAAGCAAGCTAGTAACGAAATAGAGAGCCTTCCTTGACTAAAATCACAGTTGTGGTCAACCTTGATGATCTCAGCCACACTTCATGCAGAACGTGGAGATGCTAAATGTCAGTGCTGCACAACGGAAGCACCTACGCGGCCATCTGAGTGACTGCCGATAGAGTTGTTACTAGCCAACAATGGAAAAGGCACAGTTTACCGTGCTAACACTGCCGGGACAGGCTATAGACACCAGAACCACTACATCAAGCTGTAGTGCTTCTCGTGACCAGTGTCCCTTTAGGTGGTTAATAATGTGATCTTTAAGGCATTTAATGTTCTACAATACATTGCAATATAGCCAATTATCCCTTTAATTATTTAATAGTGTATTTTGACTGTATAATATGCCATTTATTCAGCCTATGTCTTTTTCTACCCACCAGGTTCACTCGCTGTATCGTAGAACTGGCGCGAGTTTCCAGAGAGCGCAGGAGGAGTTTTCACAAGGAGTTTTAACTAACCGCAACGTACAGAATGCAGCCGCTGGTGCCGCTACTGCTGCAGCTAGAGGAGCCTTCCAAGGAAACTAAACCTGAGCGTTTCTATTGTTTTACCACCGACCTCCATCTCTCCCCCCACCCCTTCCCATATTCCATTCTTCAGATCTTACCGGAGAGGAGGCTGGTTCTCCTGCCTGGAACAATCCATGCCTCCCTCATGCAGATCCCAGCACTCCACCACATGCCCTTTCCATCAAGAAGGGAAAAAGACATGCTAGAATTCTTTATAAATATATATATGTACATATATATATTCAACCGCAATGAACTAATTTACGTGCTGCTTTCCTTGAATTGTTATGTGGGGCTGAATGGCACCTTTCTTATGTTTGTTTTCACCCAACTTTAGATTGTCTATGTGGGGTCGTGGCAACAAAATGAGAACAGATTGAGCGATTTTTCACATTAAAAATCTATTTAAACTGCTATATTTTCACAGATATGTGAAATGGATTAATGCATTTGTGTTGTCTGTGCAGTAATGTACAATACTGCATTTGCCTGATACTGTAAAACAACTATATTTGGATCAATACCGAACGTGTAATATATGTAGATTCTCTAATCCCCTCTTGTAAAACTTGCCATGTCTATTTAGTGTCTGCTAGATCTGTGAGCTGCAGAAGTCATTTTTAAATACCACTTGTATCTATATCAATGTAGAAATAGAATTTTTCAAATAATTTTGTTTTAAACAGAGCTCACTCAATGTGGAATTATTATTTTTTATTTTTTTGTATATATGAAGCCACTATTTTTGAAGATTGAGATGCGCAGATCAGTTTAAACACAGTAAATGGAGGACTCCAATAGCAGCAGTGTGAAGTCTTTTAAAAATTAAAATACTGCTGCCATTTAAAACATTTCGGTATTTGAAGCAGGAAATCTTCGAGAGGTTGGTATACTGCAGTCAGCATCCTACTTGTTTACTTGGGATATTAGGAAGCCATGAAATAAAGATGTCGTCTGGGGATGGGGGGGGATTTACAAATTAATGCTGTGATATGGCATAACTGCACCAGCTTTGTATGATGATTTCAGTGCCCTGTGCGGACTATGAGTGAAAATCTAAATAAATATTTTCTACAATAAGTCTGGATTTTTGTAGCTCAAATCAAACCTCCTCTTATGATTATATACCCTTACATCTATTTGATAAACACTTGCTGGATTGTCATGCCAAGAATTCTACAACTGGCCTCAAAATTGTCTATAGCTGCTCATTCATTCTAGAGTCAATCAGGGTAAACTTGCCGGGGTTTAACAAAATCCTGGTGCTCCTGTATCAAGAAAGTTTACTGCAGATCTAGAACATTTAATTTATTTCCCTTAGGAGAATCACTGGCATGGTGAAAATTCCTAAAACATGTATGCACATTAACCACTTTATATTGAGTCACTTTACACATACACTCCAGGGTGGACATCACATCTACATAAGCTTGTTGGACATCCCATTCCAAAAATATGGAAGATAGTGTAACCACGGCTGGTTCCCTTATTTACCACTATATCTTAAAGCATAGAACTTAGTAGGGCTAACCATACATATATCTTAGCCATAATTTTATATAGTTAGTGTAAGAGATTCTCTATTTAACATATATAAATAATTGAGAATACAATATAAAATAAGGATTGTCTTGGAAGCAATAACGTTTTGTCTTTAGATATTTATTATATATAAATATAGACATAGAAAATCCATTATAGCAGAGTTTATAAGATTAAACTGAATGCTTGCAAATATCATTAATAGGTTAACATACCCTTCTGAACATGTCATCATGTCAGCCTCTCTGTCATTTTAAGATGGAGCAGCATCTGTCTCCAAGTCTCTCCTCTGTTTCTTAACATTTAAAAGTACACCTATTTATACCTTAGGTGTCTCCATTTTACGGTTACCATAGTTCATATATTAAAAAGTAACATTTCTTTTACTTCATTTTAGGACCTCCCTTAACTTGGCAAACATACAAGGCCATAACTAAAGGGTGTATACGTCATGGAAATTTTCCTGACTTAGTTCAAGATGGCATCTTAAAGTCTGGACATCCTTATCTACTTAAGGTTACCACAGTATATTGTGTACCGAAAGAGTCGTAGCATAGCCTTGAAGCTTGTTTATGCATTATTGTTATTGTAATTCGTCAGGGACAAAATGGCGCAAACATATTATGCACTGAGGTTATTGCTTAAATAAACCGTTATGAAAAACAATATGTTCCATTTCTAACACCTTGTCAGTTTGCATTATCTCTTAAAGACAAAGTACACTGTTTAAGAAATACAACATTTCATTCTAAAACTAGAATAGCTTTTTGGCTATAACAGCTGCCGCTCTTCTGGGAAGGCTCTCCACAAGAATTTGGATTGTGTCTGCATTCTTGTTCATCCTGAAGGTGTCCAATGGGGGTTGAAGTCAGGTTTCTGTGCATGCCACTTGAGTTCCTTCACATCAAACCATATCTTCATGAACTTAGCTTTGTGCACAGGGACAGAGGCCTGCCAAAACAGGAAAGGGCTTTCCCCAAACTGTACAGTAGGCACTATGCATTTCTGTTGGTGGTGTTCTCCAGGCATCCACCTCATCCTGATTCTTCCATCAGACTTCTAGATAGTGAAGTGTGATTCATCACAATTGTTTTAAAATTGTAATTATATTATAATATTCAGGGTACAACTGACATGCATCCTCTCCTCTGAGAGACTGTATTGCACTTTTCTTCATTTACCTTGATACTGGGGGTAGACAGTCCCGATGCCATCAGGAAGAGTAGGGTACCTGGGGAGGAGGAATAAGGCAAAATTGTATGGTCTCTGATATAAGTGCTATATAAATTGAGGCTTGAGAATGATCGGTAAACACTAGTATTTGCTAAATATATACAAAGTATAGGATCCAAAATATTCAAAAAGAACCATTTTTAAAGAAAAAAAATAAATGAATGAGTACAGCACCGGATGTTCCAAACATCTAATGATATCTGCCTACCTCAAATCCTCAGATTGTAAGCTTGTATAAGCAGTGGCTTCTTCGACTTTAAAGGACCACGATAGTCACCCAGACCACTTCGGCTCAATGAAGAGGTCTGGGTGCCAGGTTTTAACCCTGCAGCTGTAAACGCTATGTTTATATTGCAGGGTTAATCCACCCTCTAGTGGAAAATCGCATTGAGCACGCAGAACATCCATAGGAAAGCATTGAGTAATGCTTTCCCATGGGTGGTTTGAATGCGCACGTGGCTCTTGGCGCGCATGCGGCTCCACTTGGGAGCTGACATCGGAGGGGGACCCCTGCGCTGGACTAAGGAAAGTGGCTGAAGGGGACCTAAGGACTTTATAGTGCCAGGAAAACGAGTTTGTTTTTAAATATGCCATTTCCATAATATGTTGGTGCTATGTAAATGTGTAGAAAAAGGGAAAAAGGGATGCAGCTAAGAACTAAAAGAAAAAAAAAAAACAGACAACACATAGTGATGTACAGTTGGATTAAATAACACACTGCAATAATGGTTGCACTCACAAGATTTAAATGAGATTTGCCCTTGAAATCCACTAAGGGATATTGCTGGACCGCTTCCACTGGAGGATGGTGGATAATAAGCAGACTCAGATGGCTCAGGAACCAAATTTTGGAAAAAATAGATTTATTTAGGCACAATTGCCCAATAAAATATAAAAAAATATTATTTTTTTTATATTTTATTGGGCAATTGTGCCTAAATGAATCTCTTTTTTTCAAAATTTGGTTCCTGATTGTATCCTGAGCCATCTGAGTCTGCTTATTATCCACCATCCTCCAGTGGAAGCGGTCCAGCAATATCCCTTGGTGCTATGTAAATGCCAGAAATAAAAATAAATGGCTTTTCCTAAAACAGGGTTTAGTAGAGTTAATGAGGTTTATTCACCAAGTACCAAATTAGAGTAAATTAGGAAATTGCCAAATTTAGTATCACTAAAGTATAAATTGTCAGGAATCTGAAGTAAATTTTAGAACAAAATAGACAAATTTGTAATATTCTACAAATCTGTTACGTTTTTAATTCGTCTGTTTGGCCTAAAATTTAAAATTCACTTTGGATCAACAGATGCAGTTTACGGAATAATCGAGAGTCCCTCATTTTTCTGATTAGAAGCCTGCCCATTGAAACATGGCATCATCATTATTTTGTGTGACTGACTATCATGAAGGGGATTCAGTCTCTGGATTCATTACATTGATAACACCATACTTTTCACTTCCGAAAAACATTAAAATGGCATTTCGCCTGCTTTAACCCCTTAAGGACACATGACGTGTGACATGTCATGATTCCCTTTTATTCCAGAAGTTTGGTCCTTAAGGGGATTATTCACTAAATTCCAACATCAAGTGAAGTAAAATATAAACTACAAAACTTGGAATAAAAGCATCCAAGCCATCGCTATAACTATACATACTTTTTAAACCTTAACCTACACTTGGCTATTCAATATATAATTTACTACAATTGTTTAGGAAATGTATTGCATAGAGACAAAAAGGCACAGGTTATCTTACTGACTTTCCACAATGCTGCCACTCCCAAAATGCTCAGCCAGCCTGAACTAAGAGTTGGATATCACACACCCCTACAAAAAACGCTCAGCCAGCCTGAGCTAAGAGTTGGATATCACACACCCCTACAAAAAACGCTCAGCCAGCCTGAGCTAAGAGTTGGATATCACACACCCCTACAAAAAACGCTCAGCCAACCTGAACTAAGAGTTGGATATCACACACCCCTACAAAAAACGCTCAGCCAGCCTGAACTAAGAGTTGGATATCACACACCCCTACAAAAAACGCTCAGCCAACCTGAACTAAGAGTTGGATATCACACACCCCTACAAAAAACGCTCAGCCAGCCTGAGCTAAGAGTTGGATATCACACACCCCTACAAAAAACGCTCAGCCAGCCTGAGCTAAGAGTTGGATATCACACACCCCTACAAAAAACGCTCAGCCAGCCTGAGCTAAGAGTTGGATATCACACACCCCTACAAAAAACGCTCAGCCAACCTGAACTAAGAGTTGGATATCACACACCCAAACAATGTGAGGAGGTGCCTTAGCCTGAAAGCAAAGAGCAGCCTGTGTCTCGCACTTACACCATTAGGTGGCGCCAGTCTCCCTGTGCAGCTCACATGTCCCTTTAACTGAAACCCGGAAGTGCAGAGCAACCTGACACATCCAGATAGGATGAGCATGTGCCCCCCACCGCACCGCTAGCCCAGCCAGGGGGACCATGGCCTCGGCAAGCTGGGCCCCACCTCGCCTGGAGGACTTCATACTCACTGACAAGCTGGGGAGCGGGACCTATGCCACAGTGTACAAGGCTTACAGGAAGGTAATAGGAGCAGGCCTGGGTGGGCAGTAAAACATTGTGATAGTGTGCGGCTCATGTATCAAGAGCAATTATTCAGCACAAATGGCAAAGTGCTGCAATCACCATGGAAACCAGCAATGGTTGCTTTACTTTGAAAACTATGCCCAGATTCTTTTTTTTTTCTTCTTCTTCTAAATAATTACTGTGCCTATATATTTAATAATAATCTATTTTGGAAGTAGCATTGTGCCTATATATTTAATAATAATCTATTTTGGAAGTAGCATTGTGCCTATATATTTAATAATAATAATCTATTGTGGAAGTAGCATTGTGCCTATATATTTAATGATAATCTATTGTGGAAGTAGCATTGCATACTGTGATTAGTGTATCTGATGTGAAAATATTAATTATTGCTGGCAATGATATCAATCTGTCACTGTACACCTGTGGGATGGATTAGGGTCATATAGGGAAGGATAATGAAAGAGTACTGTTAGAGTACTGTTTCCTTAATGCTTGGCACAATTCATCAATAACTGTTCATAACTTCCTTTTAGATTCTCGTGAGCATTTCCCTCAATGGGCTCCTCTACTTTCTGTTCCCCTAAATCAATCTTGATGTGTATAGTGAGTCAGATATGATATAAAGTCTATGAGGTGCACATAGCACAGTTATGTACCGTTTTAGCGATTGGATACATTTTCAAATGGATAAGCAACAGTATTGAAGAGTGTAAAATTATTTTGTGATCATTATTCACTGTTTTATATATAAAACAAAAATCTGTTAATTGCAAACTCGTCCTTTTTCCTTTTATATGTTGGGTCTACTAGCGAAATGCCCGTGAAGTGGTGGCCATCAAATGCGTCAGCAAAAAAAGTCTCAACAAAGCATCAGTGGAAAACCTTCTGACTGAAATTGAGATCTTGAAGACGGTTCATCACCCACATATTCTTGAGTTGAAGGACTTTCAGGTACGTAATCAGACCTGATTAGTTATTATTCCAGCATTATAAAAATGACAAAATAAAAAAAATAACAACACATCATTCATTAAAATGTAGTGTTATTACAGCTCCAGTCCTAATACCATGCCTATTACAGTGTTACCCTAAGTTAGGCACAGGAGGTTCTGTGATTTGTTACTCTCACCACTCTCAGCCAGGGTCAGAATAATAGAAGTTGCCATTCAGAGCATTTTGAGTGCAGGTGTTCAGCCACCAACCTGCATGGTTACACTGTCCCCTAACCCTAAATCCACAGGTCACGTCAGCTCCTTTAGCAAATTTGTTTTCTTGAGTAGTCACATGGGAGGTTACTATAAATGGAATCCATAGTCTTGTGATCACTTTACACTTTTATGACTTAACCTGTCACGTGCAGCAACTTTACAGCTATTCTTCATTGTTTATGGGTTTTATAGTATCATCATTTTAGTTAACAGTTAACTGAAAACTGCAGCAGCTGTCCTGTCCTGTTGATCAATGCAGCTGATATGTTTAGGAATATAAAATATTTATATAAAATATATTTGGAGTTAAGCTTCTGTTTTAAAAACAGTGCCACTTTAAATGGACATCCCATGTGCCTTAATATTTTATTCTCTGAATAGCACCTGCTGCAGATGTAGTGCATTATTCTCTAAAATACTGTGGGACTAAGGCCTCCATTAAAAGGGTAATCCAACCATCATGACCACTACTGCTTTTTGAGGTGGTTATGGTGGCAGATGTCTGGATGTGCAGTGTTTCAAGCTGGAACACTGCACATCTTGAGTAATTTGATCTTATGTGCCGGGGGCAAGTTGCCAATTTTGCAAATAACCCTGGTTTGTGCTTTTACCTCCTCCTTCTCTCTCATTTCTTGTAATACAAGTATTTTTCCCATATTCTCATCCCGTATTTAGACTCATTGCCTCTCGTACATGCTTTCTATTTTGCAGTGGGACCGGGATAATATATTTTTAATCACAGAGTACTGTCCTGGCGGAGATCTGTCTCACTTTATCAGAACTCGTAGGATTCTTCCCGAAAAGACGACACAAATCTTCCTTCAGCAGCTTGGTAGATATGCCATCATTATCACTTCGTTTTATTTACCCACTCAAACATTACTCACTTGTAATTTCTATTTCTGTGTTGGAAAACCATTTCTCACCTTCTCCCACAAACATGACGTATTTAATTCCTCCTCTTCCTTTCTTAAATTAAATATCATTCTCGCAGTCATCATATTACTCTTATTCACCTTACTCCTATATCGAATCTCCCAGTCTATGTTCTGGATCTTTTTAATAAAGACATACAGGATACCGCACTCACCAAATAACACAGGTGCTCTGAAGCCAGGGCTGGCCAGGCCTTCCTTCCAAGATATGCAGAATAAATACCGGTACAGGTACTGCCGGATAACAAAAATAGCAGCTTTATTGGGGCAAAAGCAGCAACGTTTTGACCCTGCCAGGTCCTTATCAAGCTCTATGAGCTTGATAAAGACCAGGTAGGAGCGAAACGTTGCTGCTTTTGCCCCAATAAAGCTGCTATTGCTGTTACCCCAGAATGCCTGAACCGTTATTTATTCTGCATATTTGGGTCTTTTTAATGTAACATTTATTTTAGTATTGTTACAACTTTGCACCATAGTTGGACTTTTCCACCTTCTGTTCCGATCTTACATTGTGTCCTTGAACTTGTTACCATGAGAATTGATCTGCTCTCACCGCACCCATTGATGAGTTTACCCTTATATTTACTATTGTGCACTTGCTTAACGTTATGCCAAGTGTTTGTCCCTAGTTACATGATTGTCCAGTTTATTGGCCATGCTTACAGACTGGATAAATTAATCTCCAGTTTCACAGATGCCAGATTCTTTGGTCGTCTAGATGTGGTGTTGAATCCTAGTCTCATCTGATTCAATACGTTGACTAGAGGGTTAGACTGCCGTACCCTCAACTATACCTGACTTGCATAGTATATGAGCTTAGATCTGGATTTCCTTCACTTTCTGCTATATCTGAATATTCTCTCTGGAGATAATTATTTTAGAGTGCCTCTGAAACAGGTAAATTTAGGGGAAACCATCAGACTTGACCCAATTATCGCCATGGAGGCATTTTAATAATCAAGCAATTTAGTGTCTGTTATCAAGTAAGCACTCTATAAAGACTCTAGTTCACATTTTCCCCTTTTCTATTCAATGTAACTTTTTTTTTCTCCGTTTATTGTTCTTCCTCTCTCTCTTTCTGTTCTACAGCCCCCCCTCTCACCTTCTTAGGTATTTCTTTGAGCTATGAAATCCCTGATTTTATCACACTAAATATTGGTTACCCTGTTTGAGTCTGTGCACTGTATCACGCATTTTGCCATACAGTATATTGATTAAACATGCTTCTTGTTCTCTCAAGTGTTTAAGTGTATAAGCTTGTACACCTGTAGTCATGCTATTATAGTCCTAACACAGATCGGCCTCAGTTAGAGTCTGAGAGTCTGCTCCCCTTGATGTGTCTGCGGCACTGTGATGGACATCAAGTAAACGTCACTTACAAGTATATAGCCTGTTTTGTTCAGATATTTGCCAATGGAGTTCTTAAAGGGGCACTCTAGTCTCCAAAACAAATTTAGCTCATTGAAGTTTTGGTGTATAAATCACTTCTCAATTCTCTGCCATTTAGGAGTTAAATCACTTTGTTTATACAGCCCTAGTCACACCTCCCTATGTGTGACTTACACAACCTTCCGAAAAACTTTGTGTAAAGTGAGATCTAATGTTTATACTGACTTTTATTGCAAATTCTGTTCGGTTTAGAATTTCTTATCTCCTGCTCTGTTAATCGCTTACTAGACCCTGCTGGAGACTCGTGTATGTATTTAAGGTTCAATCTACAGAACAGAAGATAAAAACTTGTAAAGTAAGTTAACATCTGAAAATGAAACCAAATTTTATTTCTTGCAGGCTTGTGTGTGTGTGTGTGTGTGTGGCTAGGGCTGCATAAATAGAAACTAAAGTAATTTAAATGGCAATGCCTTGAGCAGTGAGTCTTCAGAGGCATGATCTATACACAAAGACTGCTTCAATAAGCTAAAGTTGTTTTGGTGACTATAGTGTCCCTTTAAATTCTGCGTAAAATAACTCTCTCACTCTTTTCTCCAGTTTATGTCGATATAGTATATTTTTATTGGTATTGTAATCTCTCTCATAATCTTTCTTCTTTTAGCTAGTGCTCTGAAGTGCCTGTATGAAAAAAACATTTCTCACCTGGATCTGAAGCCTCAGAACATCCTTCTGAGCAGTCTAGATGGACCTCATCTGAAGCTGGCAGGTGAGTTTGTGGAAGCGGTTATGGATAAAAACAAACTGAGGCCATAGATCCTCCCGGCCTTCCCAACTCCTCACCAGATTTTGGTTTTGCTCAGCACATGACATCGCAGGATGAAGCACAGGCGCTAAGAGGGTCTCCCCTGTACATGGCTCCCGAGATGGTGTGCCGCAGTCACTATGACGCCCGGGTCGATTTGTGGTCTGTCGGGGTTATTCTGTATGGTGAGTGGACTGTACCTTTTTTTTAATTCTTTATTTTTCACTTTTGGTGCAACATTTAGATTGTACAGATTGTTAAAAAGTTGAGGTTCGGTACCGTTCATAGTTTGCACCGTTTTGGGTCAAGCAATAGCAATAATTTTTAAACAACAGTAACATGTTAAAACAAAACAGTATTCATTATTTAGGTGTTATGATGTTTTGTGCGTTCTTGTGTTGGGATAGGACTTTGCTTTCAATCAGTAGCTCCTGTCTAGAGTAGGTCTGGTGGTGATGGGACCCTATGTGAAGATTGAGTAGGTTTTCGAGTCGTGTAGTAGCAAGGTTGCGTCAGTTCCATGTTTCATGGTCAGACTCGCTGTGTTGTGCTGAGTATAGGTGTCTACATGCGTTAGTGGAGGTGAGCTGTTTGTCGTAGATAGCGTGTTTTGGGTTGATTACCCCTAACCAAGGGGGCTGCGGGGGGGTGATTTGTCAGGCGCTCTGTGGTTGGACGTGTGATATGTTGGCTCTCAGTGGCGTAGAGAGGGTGGGTGTGGCAATGGCCTGTAGTGTTTGGGAATTGTTAGCGGAGGCTAAATAGTAAATATTGTAAAACGTAAGTAGTAAATAGTATAAAACGTGAATAGTATAAAACGTAAATAAAGTCACGGAATGAAATCAAAATATGTGTGCACCATTCCTGGTGGCAAAGCCTGCGGTGTCATTCCACTTCAGTCATGGTACAGGGTGTTGTGACCCGCTGGGTCTCGGTTCCGACTGGGCGTTGCTCCTGGGATCCTGGACTTCCAGTTGCGGGCTTTTTCATGGTGGAAGCATCGGGTTGGGTAGTTTCAAAGCGGTTAGGAGATTAGGTGCTTCTTCCACGGAGGTTAGGACATGGGTAGTGCCTTCTTGGGATACCTCCAGAGTCCCGTTAGTGCCCCATTTGTATGCAATTCCCGCTGCTCGGAGTTGTGTGGTGAGCGGTCCATACGATTTTCGCCACATGAGGGTGGCCTTTGATAGGTCCTGGAAGAACGTCAGGGAAGAGTTCTCAAACAGCAGCGGTGTCTTGCCTTTCAGCCCAGCCATTATGTGTAGTTTATCTTGTACTGTGACACATCTGAGGATGACGTCTCTGGCCGTTGGGGTCTTTAGGTGGGGAGGGGTAGGCAAGCGGTATACCCCATCTATGATCATTTTCTTCACTGCCGTGTGTGGGAGTACTGTAGCTAGTAGGCGTCTGGTGTAATGCGGCAGCTCTTCGGCTGATATCTCTGCAGGGATGCCCCTGATTTTTATGTGTGAGCGGCGTTGTCGATCTTCCATGGTTGACATTTTGAGTGACAGGTACGTTTGTTGTTGTTGGATTTGTTTGATGGTGTCTTCCATCGTGTTTATGTGAGCATGTACCATCACTACTTCTGCCTCCGTGGTGTTCACCTTTTCCGTGACCGTGCGCAGTTCGGTCCTCAGAAGGGCTGAGTCAGCTGCTAGGAGCTTATGGATGTCTGCTAGAAGAAGCTTTAAGTCACGTTTGGTGGTTGGTGCAGAGTCATCCGGGGACTCCAACAGTGGCTGTAGTGGTGCTTGTAAGTGCCCTTGTTCGGGACTGTACCTTTTAAAGCAGGTTTGCCTATTTTCAGACATTTATTCGTGTCATTAAAACATTCATAAATCTATACCAGGGGAATACATAAAAAAAAACGTGGTGTCGAAAAAAAAATAGTACGCCTGTTTGGATTAATACTGCAAAATGTGCAGATATTACAGATGTGTGGCTTTAAATTAACCTACCTGAGATGGCTTGAAGGCTTATTGAGCTATATGGGGTATTTTAATTTCTAGTCACCATCATATCAGTCTTAAATATTCTCTATCAGAGCTGCTTTAAAAACTGGGTACATTTCTAGGTTGTAGCATTCTAATTATAGTAGAATTTAATGACAAATGGAACACTTCATGGGGTTCTTAGGAAGTTATTGAACATTTACATCTAATGCTATGCTACTTTATTATAAGAAGTATGTGTAGAATTTTCATTTAGATTCCTTTGGTGCTAAATAAGTTTCCTACATGAGATGCCTAATCAACCTTTGTGTTTTTTGAGTAGATGTGTATTTTTTTTTTGTTGTTGTTAATTTAATGACATATTCTGGTTATAGCCAGGGTGTTCCAGTGCTTTGTCCGTATTCTTATCTATATATCTCTGTCATGTTCCAGAGGCACTCTTTGGGAAGGCTCCATTTGCTTCCAAATCCTTCTCTGAATTGGAGGAAAAAATCCGCAGTGACCGTACAATAGAGGTAATGCGAGCGAGGTAGTATAATTATTTTGAGTAAAAAAAGTGAAGATAGAGGAAGAATAGTCTGCAGGGGTGGGGATGAGAGTAGGACATTTGTGGGGGAATAGAAATAAGAAAATTGGTTCGATTGTTTTGACATGTCACGTACCATAAAAAGTTATATTTCTACAAGCTTACTCCTTTACGTCTTGTCCTCAGCTACCACCCAGGCCGCGAGTGTCCCTTGAATGCCGTGACCTGCTGCAGAGACTCTTGAAGAGAGACCCTAATGAGAGGATTTCATTCCCAGACTTCTTTGCTCACCCCTTTGTAGACTTGGAACACATGGCGTGTGCGGAATCTCTACAGAAAGCAGTATGTACACTCCATATTACATACTTTTACTCTATTATAACAATACATTTTACTAGATTACACTATTGCTTGGCTAATCTACATTGCCATGTCATCATGGTCACCCAGAAGTGGCACTTTGCAATGAGAATTCTGATCTGCCCGGACTAGACTGTTGGTCTGCAATGGAGCAAACTGCGTCTGAGTTCTGTGGCAACTGAGACAGCGCAGGGCTCTCCTTGCAGTCCGTGAGACCTCTTGACTGACATCACCAGGAGGACGTAATATGTCACATGCTTAATACTCTCATTCAAGAGAGCCTGGGTTTTCAAAAGCTCTCTCTATGATAGAGAATGCAGAGACAGCACATTCTCAACATGACACCAAGTAGTGCAGTCTCACCTGCTCTACTCTCCCTCACAACACTGTCAAAGCTGAGCAGCATGGTGAAGTGACAGGGCATTCATTCATTTTGTGCGTGTCTGTCAGTATGTTTAAACGTGCGTGTCCACGTTGCCTAATTGTGTGCAAATAGTATCCAAAGTGTCACCCTCCTTGTACCATACCTCTAAAGTTTCATTTCTCCACCTGACTGTGTGCATTCTCTCTGTTACCGCAGTTGTCCTTGGTGATAGAAGCTGTGGAAAAAGATAATGCCGGAGATTTCACCAGCGCCCTGACCCTGTACTGCCGAGCCATGGACTATTTCATCCCTGCCCTGCACTGTAAATATTATTTATAATTAATGCCCTGTAATATCACCTCTCTGCACCTTAAACACATCACTTCATTAAAAAGTAGGGTGTACAGAACTGTGTTTAAATGGTAGCTATTTTTTTGTTTCAGTAAAAAAAAGTATAAAAAAAAATAATAATTAAAACTAACAAGGAAATGGGACACAGTACATGCAAATGTCTCATTTTGGTACATGAATACGGTACACCCATTGAGCACTGAAATATGTGGGGGTTTACAATGAGTCAAAGCAAAGTTATTACATTATGATCTCAATAAAAAAAATAAGAGCAAAAAAACAAAAAACTCACAATAATAAGTTACAGAAACACACGTAGACCGAGAGTGCCTGTGTGTTTTACCATTTTGAAATTCTCTCTCTCGTGATATTGAGGGAAAGGAGCTGAAGGAAACAGAAACAGTTTGATTCCGTGTCCTCACCTCCTGTTTGCATATTAATATCGAGAAAGGAGCTGGATCCATGGAAAAAATCTCAGGCATACAAACTTGTATGTTTCAATACACATAAAAATGTGTACTGGTGAAGAACGGGTTAAGGGGAAATAATGCTATCTGTATGTCTATCTAATCTTATCCACAAATGTAGAATAGCTTTCCTTGATGTGTATGAACTCTTCCAACAGTTTGAGATAAGATCTGTGTGATAACACATTTGCACTTACATTTTCTTTCTCAAGGAAGTATCCAGTTTAGATCTGTGCTAATAACACTAACCTCATTCTGATTTCTTTTTCTGTTTTATGAGAGATCTTGTATGCATATTTTTGGCCAGAGTACAATCGGTTTTCATATTCCGTTCTATTGTTTTAACTTTCCTAAAATTCTTTTGTAGATGAAACGGATGTCAGACGAAAACAGGCTTTGAGATCAAAGGTTAGTTTGGACATCCTTTCAAATACGTATACATGTAATACATGGAATCTTCTGCTAGTTAACTCTTTATATATTGGGAGACAATAGACCTTGTTCTTAATTGCTATATAACAAAGACGGAATAGAATGTTATGGAGTTTCTACAAGTTCTCTACATTCTGTGTCTTAGCCAGTTAGAGTGGCTCAGTGGTCATCCAGGGTCTCCGCTATAGGGACTATACCTCACATTCAGCCAAACTCTGATCTCTGCAGGTCACTCAGTACATCTCTAGGGCAGAGGAGCTGAAGGTCCTGGTGTCCTCTAGTAACAGGACTCTCTTGATGCAGGGCACATCAGCACGGGAACTATTAAAGGGTGAGCTCCGGCACTTTCTAAATAAGCAGCAAACACCAGCAAGTGACTTGTATTTCTATGTAATGCAATCCAAATGCATCTAATCTCCTGTTTCGTATAACAATGTGCTTGTCAGATTCCATCACAAGCCTCTACAATCACCATCACCCCTAGGAAATCAGACCCTGCATATATAATGATGTGAAATACCTGGGTTTATTCACTCAACTGGCATCCACAGAAACATGATATGTAAATTTATCATTTTAAGCTAAACAAAATGGAGATAATATTTAATCCCCCCTTTTTCTAATTTTCCTCTATTGATATGAAACTTGAATTCCTACTCCGTTCCAAAACTCTGTTTAGTGAATAATCCCAAGTGTGCTTTTTGTCAATATAGCTGAAATCCCCTTGACATGATCCAAGTGTGCTTACTGTCCCCGTCTGTTCTAGTGCGTCTTTACCCTCAGTCAATATTACTGGTAACTGCATGCCTATTTTATAATACGTGTTCTAAATCTATTTACTTCATAGGCTAACATGCAGAGATGCTTTGCCAGTATAGCTATCTTGTTATTAAATGGTCCTTTTATCTCTCCTTCACCTATTTCATACCTTCCCCGCTGTCATGTGCTGGGGTATGATGCACAGAAATGGCCCAGGACAAGCCACGTCTGTTTGCTGCTTTGGAAGTGGCGTCTGCGGCTGTTGCCAAGGTAAGCAGCGAGGCTGAGAAGGTGATATGGGGTAAGTCATGCTGCTCACTAATGCTTTCTTCTCTTGTCTTGGTACACTGGATGCTCTTTACGAAGCACCGTTCCAGGGCAATGTTTCTAAAAGTGGAACAAGAAACACTAACATTCCTTTGTTTCCGTGGTGATTGCACCATCCTTAGAGCCTAACCCTGGAATTGCTCTTTAAAACAAACCTGTTTTGTGCCTCCAGGATGAAGAGGGTATGGTGCATGATGCACTGGATCTCTACCAGCAAAGCTTGGGGGAGCTGATTCTGATGCTGTCTGGTGAGTGATCGTATAGGTTATGTGAACGTTGTCAATTAATGTATATCGGTACTGAAGAAGGATGTCCTTAGTATGCAATAAGACATAGAGACCCCATGATTCAGTATCGTGTCACACCATGACTGCTGTCAATGCAATGTGATATCACACTGTTTAATAAGGGGTTGGAATAACTGTTCTGCCTGTTACATTAATATGCAGATTGTGTAGTGCAGGGGTGCCCCGAAGGAAGATCCCGAGATGTTTGAAAATTACAGCTTCCAATATGTTTTGCCATTGTAAAGGCATGCAAAGCATCATGGGAGTTGTAGATCCCCAGATGTTGTAGATATACATTTTGGGCATCCATTTTGGGCATCCTTTGTGTGTGTGTGTGTTAGTTAGACCCCAATGCATCTTGTTTGTGGAAAATAATAGGCAGATCCCTAGAAAATAAGAGAGGTGTTCTGAAAAGCATCAGTCATAAAATATTTGTTTTAACCTTTTTGAACTACTTAGTTTGTTTTTATTTATGTTTTTAACAAGTAATGCATTCGTTTCAGAATTTAGAGAACAGGTGCCTGTGTTTATCTTCGGCTCTAGCAGCATATATAAAGTTATTGGTACAGGGGATATAAATAATGGTATCCAAGTTCACTTTGTATATGGGAAATGCACGTTATACAATCTATAAAGAGTTGTGTGATGTGTAAGCTAATTTCTGTATGTATGATTGCTTTCTTTACATCATATGTACAGCCCATGCTTCACTTTTCAAAAGGGCGATGTTTTTGCCACGATCGTCATAATATTTTGCCGAATGACATGTCTCCTGTTTGGTATAGAAGGGCTGCATGATAAACCGTTCCTAATAATCCTTTCTGTGTCGGTCCTTTTTAGCTGAAGCAGCTGGGAGAAGACGAGAGTTATTACATGCGGAGGTAAGTACCAGTCCATGCTGAGTAATTAATGCTAGGCTATGGACCCTCCTTAACCCCTTTTGTTTTGTATCCGTGCAGATTCAGACACTAATGAGACGGGCAGAGTTTCTAAAAGAGCAGGTAGGTGTGCTGTTACTGAATTTAAAAAATAAATACAATTTTGAAAAGCTCTTGTGTTGTAGATTAGGAAAGCAGGCAATATAATAATCATGGTATTCCAAGACTGGGTTAAGTTGATCACTTCAGATGTCTTTTGTGAGAATCTATTGGATATGTGTGATCTATTGCTCTTTGTCCTAGATAAAGACATCCCACTGGAAATCGGAATCCTTGGATCAGGAAATGCTCTCCGAGTCCGTCCGAGGCTGTAAGTGTTTTTAAAGGGCCCAGCCAGGTCCATCACAATTGGGAACAAACATTTTCTTCTTTCGTTTTCCATCACTTACACATTTACACAACCTTTCACATTTTGTCCAATTGCTCTTGTTCTAATTCATCCCTCTATATTTATAAATGTCATTCCAACCCACTATCTACCTTTTTCAGGAGACTCTCCATAAATTCCTTTATTCTTTCATCCTTTATTCCACCCATTCTGCTTCACTGTAAAGGCATCCATGAATCCCATCACTGTGAGCCCTCCATAAATAGTTTTTCCATCATCTAACGCCAACTTATAACACATCCCTCCTTACACCAATAATTCCATCTTAATATTGACACGTTTCCACAAAACAATTTCTCTCTCCCTCCTCGCTTTCCGTCTCTCCCTCCATACTCATTTCCTCATAGTGTGAGACTTTCAGTGGGACTTTTATGCCCCTCCACTACTTTTCTCACCATAACCACTTCTCCTTTTTGTCTGTGTGTACTCCCTCCAGGAACTCTTCTCCTCTCTAACTATCTGTACCTTCTGTTTTCTTACAGCTTGTTCGCTGCAATGATCCTCAGCAATGCGCACACTGGTCTGGTTTTAAATGTTTCTTTCTTGTAACTAAATTATGGTGATTAGAATAATTAAATTATTTTCCACTGTTTGCTGCGCTGTCATTTTATTTGCCTAGTAACCCAGACCACCCATGGTTATTCACAGCGAATGAAGCACAGTGCCACTTTGATTGTTTCATACCCACACATATCCGCAAATTCTGGTTCTTGTAGCTGATTTTACCTTTATCCCTTTTGCATTTTAATAATTTTTTTGGTGGCCTGAAATTCATAAAACATTAAACTTGCAGTATACAAAGCACATGGAAATACTCAATTCATGTTACAATTTGCAGCTTTTTTTAGTAGGGTAAGCATAGCTCGTTTATTAAACCAGCCCTCTGGAAACACCAATGGCTACTGATTAAAGCAGGCCTGTCTGTTCAGATTAAATCATGGCAGCATTAGCCATGAGTTAGTTCCTCCACTCGCAGCAGAACACTCAGGAATCAGAATTCTGAAACTGGTTTAAATAGAATATATATATATATATATATTCCCCTCTTTATGACACAGTCATGTTCCCTGTCCTACACAACGGTTATAATGCAGTCAGTCTTTTCAGGCCTAGATTTTATTTTATGCTCATGAGGCCACTATTATTCAGCCTCTGTTCATTGAACACACTGCCAACAGCATGTATTCAAGAAGTGAGATTACTGACCAGTGTAAGTATGGGGGTTTCTTTTATGATATCAAAATAGCCTTTCTGTATGAAAAGAACACACCACCCCCGTATAATATTTACATATGCTATGGAAGGCAGATACAGCGTGGTTCCAACAGAGCCATACGCACTTTTGCACTGAGTAAGTTCTTATTATAGACATGTTAGCCTTCTACTTATAAATATGTTTGTAGCAGATAGACGTGCTGCTTTTTGTCTTTACATTGGAGTTCTCTATCCATATTGTGTTACAGGAATGTTTTGGATAAAAAAAATGAGGTATAGTGCAATATTGGCGCTATCCGTGTCTAAATACAAACAATAATGTGATTGTGGTAAACCATGCAAAATATTTTTAGTAGATATGATATGCAGCGTTACGAGGGATAAAAAGTGCAATAAGAATCCTCTACGATGAATGCAGTGAATCACTAAATAAACCAATGGGGAAAAAAATAAATAAAATTCCCTCAAAAAAATGAATATACTTTTGTCTCAGTATCTAATATAATAGACTAAATACAGCAAATTATGTGATTTACCTAGTACACCCAACACCTTACAAATCAAATTCTATACTATTTTGTTTGTGTTTTTGTTTTCAATTGGCCATTTTCAACAAAAATACTGAGGTCCAAAGAGTTGACCTCATCCCTGCATCAAACAGATTCTAACTTAATCTTGCTGTACCTTTAGACTAATTTGGCGAAACACATTTCTGATTGTCTTTGAAGGGACACTATAGTCACCAGAACCACTACAGCTTATTGAATTTGTTCTGGTGAGTAGAATCATTACCTTCAGGCTTTTTGCTGTAAACACTGTCTTTTCAGAGAAAATGCAGTGTTTACATTACAGCCTAGTGATAACTACACTGGCCACTCCTCAGATGGCTGTTAGAGATCCTTCCTGGGTCATGGCTGCCTAAAATGCATCCGAACATTCAGTATCTCCTCCCTCTGCATGCAGAAACAGCATCTCCTCATAGAGATGAATTGAATCAATGAATCTCTATGAGGAAAGTTCAGATTGGTCAGGGTTGTGTTTGAATCATGCTGGCTCTGCCCCTTATCTGCCTCTTTGTCAGTCTCAGCCAATCCTATGGGGAAGCATCAGGTCACCACTTCTGATGATGTCAGCAGCCTGCTTGTTTTTCTGAGTCAAACTGCATGCAGAATTACAGCTTCAGGCTTGAATACAGTAAGATTTTGCTATATTTATGAAGGCATGATGGGCCTGGGGAGGCTAGATGGTGGTTTTAACACTATAGGGTAAGGAACACGTTTGTGTTCCTGACCCTATAGTGATCCTTTAAATAGTAATATATCTGCAATTGGTGCTGAAAAAATGTATTATTCAAATCTTTTGTTATAAAATCATTACGATCGTGTGATAAGCAGGTCAGAGGTGCTGAATATGAGCCCAAACCTTATTATGCTCCAACTTTGAGTGTGCTAAATCATATTATATAACACTTAATTAAGTTAAGATATTTATCATTTTTTTATTTTATTTTGTATTTAAGGAAATTTGATCTTAATATACAGCAGTGATTTCCTTTATCTACACTAATAAACTGAAACAAAATTAACGTGACACAATGAAGTCAAACAACATATAAGTAGATGATTTTATTTGTAACGTGTTGAGTGTAATAGGTTTAAGCACATAATTCATAGTATTTGGGTTATTGTATTACTTGAAACTGAGTTACAGTATCAAAAAAAAAAAAAAAAAGGTATATGAATAATCACTGCGCCTGTTTTTGAGGGATTCCTTTTTTGGGGAGGTTTATTGATTGATGCGTTCCTGAGCCTGTCCAGGAGACCTAATATCTAAAATGGAGGATGCTAATACTAGCAGTTAATGACTGACAGCTGAAAATCTTCATTGTTCCCTTCTCAAGCCTGCAAATGAAATTAATCTTGAATTGGACATTACTCTCTGATGGGTAAAGGGAAGACCGCATGGCACAGTGGGAGCTTTAATATTCCTAGCCTGTTTGCCAATTTTTAAATGATATGGTAAATGTCAACATATGTTTGCAATGGATAAAAGGTAAAAAAACTTTTGTCCTAGCTGGTTCTAAATAAAGGTATTCAATCCAAAAACAAAACTCACCTGTGTCAAGGCAGGTCACAATTGTATGTGACACGTTTATAGAACAGTGTTACTATTTTTGTGCAACATCCAGCCAGGCAGATGTGGAATATTTTGGTGTGTTATCAGTAAAAATCTATTAATATTATTACATAAAGTGCAATGTTTCAAATCACACACTCTTTCCACACTGAGTTTTTAATCACAAAGTTTTATAAATCCAAATGTTTTGTACATAAACATTGACAGTACAAAGAATAAAACACACAGTTCTACTTTGAACTGTACTGCAGCTACATACTGAACAACAACCCAGTGCTGGACCCCCGGGAGTGTAGCAGGAGACCCTTGACAAGTCCAGCATCTCCCCCTTTATCTCTAAAGCTGTAGACCTTGCCTTATTCTATTTTTAGTCAAGGTCTGAAGTGTGTAATGTCACTTCCTTCAACTGCGATATGGCTTTGTTCTCAGTAATAATATCAATGTACCAGCACCCACAATAACGCTGGCTCTGACCCTGTCTTATATAATATCACACCGTACTGGTCATGTGCTTGTGCTGTGCCCTAATCTGTACCAGGTCTGGCCTTGTACACTGATCGCTACTGGCTCCGACCAGTGCCAAGTTTGAGTCACACACTGCTTCTAAAATCTACTCACTGTAATATAAAATAGGTCACCTCCTACTTACTGTACATTACAGGATGTGATATTTACAAAACGCATTACAGTACTGATCTACTTTTTCCTGTATACACAGAACAATACAGGGTCTGGTGCTTTACACACTTTGTCACAGATTAGATTCCATCCCATTGTGTAAGTGAATGGGATGTCTTCATTCCATACTCCATACTCTATACAATACAAAGTCTTAGTTTAATACAAGGTTTCACTTATTAAATAAACTCTCTGAACCTGCCCCTTCGTACTATCCATTTACTAAGACCTCTTTTTTTCATCTAGTTGTTTTGAGACTCTACTATTAAGCAAATATTTTACTACTAATACCTGTGACAGTAGAAAACTAGTATACGATAACCTCGTACTAACAGGCCTCCATCCCCTGTTAAAATAAACATTAAGATACAGTTTTTAATTGTTACTTGTGTTTTATAACTGGGTGGGCTCAGAGGACAATTTATGTTGTATCTTCCTTCGTAACCCACCCTTAAATCTGGTAGATAAGATTTGAGAGGCTAAAGGTGGGTTATTACATGTTGATTGATAAGTGATACCCATTGTACCCATTCTTCTCTCTTGTTCGATTTGAAGAGATAAATCCAAATATGGTATTAAACCAATTTCCCCCCTCCCCTCCTCCCAAATTATGGAAGATCTTGGATATTAATGTTCTTAATGACTAGAAGCAAGGTTAATGTATCCCAGAGATTAGAATGTGTAGTTCAGTTTTGTAAGTCATAAACTAGGGGGGGGAGTTATATTGTGACCACTAAAACTGGTGGAATTTGCCTAATTTAACACATATAGTGACCAAGGCTAAGCTTGCCTAATGTCTGCAGTGAGATTAAGGTCATGTGATAGCCTGTCTGCCACATTTTATCAGTTGATTTGGACCAGCAGAGGACCGTGTGAAGAAATTACATGACTATACACTTCTCCGCTGATTGCTTGAGATCATCGAGTGTGGATTGAGCCTTTCCTTTAATAGAGTCAAGGTCGAGGTTTTGAATGCTGCTCAACTGTCCAATAACTGATGAGCGACCCTCTTCCTCCTCATTATCTTCTTCAATCATCTTGGCCAACTCCTTTGGAAGTTCTACATCTCCCCCAGCTAGCTGGATCTGTGCGTCATCAACCTCATTCTAGAGAGAAAGGGTTACACAAGCAGTATTTAATATTTGAAATCACCATCATGTGAGTAGGTTCAGCTTAAAACTTCCTTTTATGGAGTCAACATTTTTACGAAAGTTTATTTCTCTTACAAAAAGTCATGATTGCAAAACCAAAGTTCTACATCCGAATGGTTTCCTATAGATGCAATTTACTTTTTTCAAGTATGGGGTCATGAATTAAAAGGGATTTAAAAAAATGGGATTTCTCAAAGCCACCACGGAAACTTCACTTTGAGAGAATTAAGAACAAAGAAACAAGGTATTGTATGGCAATGATACGAGGGATGGTTGTGTGCAACGTACATTTAATTAGGTCCTGTTCGTTTTAAATGCATTTTTAATAACTGGTCTAGATTACCCATAAGGAAACTTTAGACAGGTGTCAAGGGCCCAGGTAATAGTTAGACAGGGGAATGATCTTAAATATTGGTGTTACTCATTGATAGGCATGGGTGCTAAGTAAAGTGGTGCCTTAATCCTACTAAAATGTTCCAAAGCCTTCTCTGTACAGAACCGGAATCACATCCTTTATTTTTGTAGTGTGGTTTTCGAAGTTCCGCCACACGTGTAGAAGTGTATTATAAATCACATATTCATATAATAATCACCTACGGTATTACTAGTGCTGATATTATATTGCACTTTGCTTTTTGTATTCCCATCCTAGTTGCAGTTTATGGATTAATAATGTCCCATACACCAATACTCCACTAAGAATCGCAGCTTGCCTAATTGTCGCTAAAGTTGACCTAAAAAAATATAACCTGCATAATAAAAAACTGAATTGAATAGTACAGATTATTCATCTTATACTGCATAGGCTGTGTATAAATACATCTCTGAAATCAGAGGGTGGGGAGGTATATAAAATCACTCTGTAATGTTACGAACAAAGTCTGCATTTGACTCGTAGTCTGAATTACTAAAATACGTTAAGTCGGATGGCTTGGCATATCAGACCTGTAGCTGTATTGTGTTCTCGTGCATTATGTATGTGTGTGCCATCGTTGATATCCTCTATATACGGACATCCATCTTTCATATCTATATACTGACACCATCCTATTGCATCTACCACAGGGGTTCTCAACCTTGCCCTCAAGGACCCCCTACCAGTCCAGGGTTTAGGGATTACCTGGGTGTGTCTAAGGTGTTTAGAAAAAGAAAAAAATAAACACCTTAGAGTCTAAGGTTTTTTTTTCTTCCCTTTTTCTAAACACCTTAGACACACCCAGGTAATCCCCAAATCCTGGACTGGTAGGGGGTCCTGAGGACTGGGTTGAGAACCCCTGATCTACCAGATCCTCTTTATATGTGTACTTTATCCTGATAGAGCCGTGGTTCTGCATACATAGCATTGCAATAAGTCAACTGTGATTCTTTACCTTGGGTAGACGGTACTTGTCTCTAAAATGGGTTCGAAGTGTTGCCCTCTCGGCTTTCCTTTGTGTATACACAGCATCTCTTTCTATCCTGTGTGGAGAAGATACTGTTACTACAATTATTTGTTGTTGTTTTTTTTTTCAAAAGAATCTATAAATTGATTTAAAATGCTTCCACGTCTGTTAAAATATATTGTCACAGCTCTATCGGAAGACAGGGGCCTATGCAATCACGGTATTATGTTGGATTTCACAAGCCCTTAGAGTAATATATCCTAGTTAAGGAATAGTGTTTGTTTTCACGGCAGCTTGTGATGTATAGCCTATTTGTTTTGATGGGTCCCCAAACAACAAAGTGTCACTTAAAAAAATAAAATGAAAAGAGACAGTGATTTCTTCTTTAATGGAACCTGTTTATCAACTTGAAAAATGAGAATAGCAGAGAGTTATCTTCCTGCAGATTTATTTTGTTGTATATTAAGCTTTTCTGGCAGCTGATTTTAATTGGCAAACAGATTTTGGAGAATTGACATGACAGGCGCACAGTCGGATTTGCCGGCATATGCGCTAACCTTACCCAAACCCCCTTAAAAACACGGACACAGGTTATACTGTTGGAAATAATTAGTCCACAGCTTTATTAAATTATTAATAAAATAATTAAGGATTAACAAATGGGGTCATTGCCAACAAATCTTATTAAAGTTAACATCCCCCCATATACATAACATACCCCTAGCAATGACCCCACAATAATAACAATCTAAATAACATGTTAATACAGAAACATTTCCACCAGGTTAAATTGTAGGGGTGTACCGAGACACCGCTACTCACCATATCGATTGTGGGGGTGTACCGAGACACCGCTACCCACCATATCGATTGTAGGGGTGTACCAAGACACCGCTACCCACCAGTTCCAGTGTAGGGTGTACCAAGACACCACCACACCCCCAGGTTCGGAGCCACCGACAGGCTCGAACCTACCAACCACGTGCAACACTGCCCAATCCACACTAAACCTCAGGATGCCCACCTTCTCCTCCATCAACCCTCCGATTTAACCAGGCCATTCCCCGCCGCTGTGAAAAAACTGGAAATCAACTAACCTAACCAAATACAGGGAGGGTGGGAGGGACAACTGAAAGGTAAGCTTAGATTCAGTTAAAATGGCCACTTCATATAATGGCTGGTATAAATACACCCCTTATCGTTCCGCCCTACCCAGCATGCTAGCTGTCACTAACTCCCTGTGGCTGCAATATCCTTCCTCCTGGCCCTGTCAAGGCCTATTCCTCTTAGCTGCGCTGATCCATGGGCTACATGGGGATTATAATTTTCTGACAAAAATTTAAAAAAAATATCCAATTTATATTTTCCCAGTCAGCAGTTTTGGTCTAAAATGTGAATATTCCTTGGTTAATTCTGCCCAAGTTCCTGCATTGTGAATAACTAACCTAAGCAAACATTGTAGGATTGTTTCCCTTTGAAAGTTATAGTAATATAGCAATTAATTCACTACTATAATGCTCAACAACATTGGATACAGTCGTCCCCTCCCCCCCAACATATGGAAATGTTCACTCAGAGGAGTACAAAATGGAACTTTAGTAGAAAGTACAATTGATCCATGTAGGAATTTGGAATCTGCCATTTTGGAGCTGGAGTTTTGCCAAACATGAAGATCACCTGGGCAAAAACCCCAAGGGTGTGTGAAAGGTTGAACCTGATGAACTAACAAGGTTAAGTGAGATTTTTAAGTTAAGAATTTCTAAAGCTAAGAGTTCAAAGTTAATTTCAGATTTATAAGATCACACCAAGCACTATAACCACTACAGTGCACTACAGCCAGTGAGTCAGACATCTTTAGAGTCGACCTGAGCTAAGCCCTGCAATGCATGGCTAGCTCATTGGCTGACAGTGCTCTCAAACAATAAGCTAAGCCCTGCACTTTTCGACGAAGAAAACGTCTCTCACTGAGTGGAGGTGGGAAGTGATGCTTAACGGACTCCAGATAAGAGTTCAAACATAGAATGTGACAGCAGTCTGCCCAATTTTCTAAATACTTTCATTAGTCTCCGGCCCTATTTTAAGTCTAGGATAGCCTTATGCCTATCCCACGCATACTTAAATTCCCTCACTGTGTTAACCTCTACCACTTCAGCTGGAAGGCTATTCCATGCGTCCACTTCCCTCTCAGTAAAGTAATACTTCCTGATATTATTCTTAAACCTTTGCCCCTCTAATTTAAGACTATGTCCTCTTGTTGTGGAAGTTTTTCTTCTTTTAAAAATAGTCTTCTTTACTGTGTTGATTTCCTTTATGTATTTAAATGTTTCTATCATATCCCCCCTGTCACGTCTTTCCTCCAAGCTTAGGACTCTATCAAATATTCTGTACTCTGCCCTTGGGTTTTTACGTCCAAGATGCATTATCTTGCACTTATCCACATTAAATGTCAGTTGCCACAATTCTGATCACTTTTCTAGTTTACCTAAATCATTTGCCGTTTGGCTTATCCCTCCTGGAATATGAACCATGTTGCAAATCTTAGTATCATCAGCAAAAAGACAAAAAAAAAAAAGCAAACTGTGCCCGTTCCCCAGGACACTCCGGGCACCATAACCACCACAGTGCTCTGCTGAGAAATTTATTTCCCAGTTGGAGCCCGAAAGTGAATTCCTCTGCTACATACAGAAATTGCAAGTGACACCCTTCCACACTGTAGAGGAGTCTGAATTGAACAGTGTGTGCAGAGCACCTAAGCCAGGGGGATGAGGTGATAGGGAGAGCACGGAATCATTGGACCTTAACCGGCACCAAGATCTTTGCCTTTTTCTCAAAAGGATTAAGTTTCAAATGATTTTCTATCTTAGCTGCCTCACTTTTAATTCAGTTATAAGGGGACGTGATGCTGTTTTATCAGCCTAGACCTGACAAGTGCATTAAGATGATATTTAATACACAGGCTTCTACATTTTATCTCCCCATGGAATGATTTGTGCGACTGTTACCACTAAGAAGAATAAAGTTCAATTTTCTAAAGGTAAATCCACTATAAGAACATGGAAAGTGGATTTGCAGTCCCACGGCTCTTGATGGCGAGGAATTGCAATCTGTCGGCGTTACATCTTCAATTTATCAATCACATTCCTTAAGATGTGGATTGGATTAGGGCCCTTAAATCACTCTGTTCATGTGTAGAGAGGAGGGGACGTAACATAGAATGGGTAGAAAGGTCAGGAACTGTTAATACATATCCCCACTGCTCTGTTAGTGTAGGGTTCATTGAGTTTTCCATTGGCCTCAAGCCCCAGGTGCTTCTGGGACCTAGCAAGTCCACCTATGTGTTTTGTGCATGGTTATCGTCAGTGTGAGGAGATTTATCTCCCAGTTATTACATTAGTGCGTTGAAAGTAACACTCAAACATGAGGCCCCCCCTAACACCCATAGTGCAAAAATAAATAGGGGTTGCACTGTGTGTGTATAAGGAGCTGTAGTTATATTGAAGGTGGGCTTACAAGCTAGTCTCTATATTTATCATTCACAGACTTGCTCCCTATGTCGCTGTGTTGTAAGCTCTCTGACTGTAGTTATGGCATAATTTGCAATAACAAATGTAATTTGCAATTATGCAAATCATTTACACACCATTGCAGCTTATGGTTGTATAGCCTGGCAGCCATGTATACACAAGTGCCGGTGTGAAAGGGTTATTGGAAACAAAAATGGAAATATTGGTTGGGCAAAAAAGCTTTGAAAAAATCATTTACCAAACAATAAAGTTACAGATAAGGAAACAGTGTAATATACATTTTCCACACATATTCTATAATCTTTACATTTATAATCATATAAGTTCTTTATACGTATTTACTAATGTATTGTATATGTATATATATTATATATGTTGCCACTTTACCTTGGCAATGCCCATACCATACCACCCTCACATTGCAGCCATAGACACACACTAATAGATGCACACATATACACACTGTTACACGAACGTATATGCACACTAATACACAAACACATATAAATACTCTGATACACACACATGCATACACATATGAACACACTGATGCACAGAGACACACGTTGACAAATAGAGACTCATATACTCACAATATGTATCTGGCTGTGTGTATTTCTGAGTGTCTCTGGCACTGTCTGTCTGTGTGTGTATGTGCCTGAGAGTGTGTGTCTGACAGAGAGTATCCTTGGGTGTGAATGAATGTCTCTGTGAACATGTATATATTTGTGTCTGGAGCACTATGTGCGTTTGCGGATAGGGGAGGCTGGTTGTGGCCTTTGTGCATTGTGTTTAGGGCGAAGCTGTTTCATGATTGTGTGTGTATGATGAATGTCTTGAAGGGCTGACTGTGACAGGGTGAGTAAAGGGGTAACTGTGGCAGGGTAAGTGTTACAGAGCGAGGGGGTGAATTAGACAGGGTTGGGGGGATGAGTGTGACAGGATTAAAGACATAAAAAAAATTATTTAACATTTTTAAGGGGAGGGGGTTGGGGGGTTGTGCCAAATATAGGATCCGCCCCGGGTGCCAAATGCTCCAGGTACGCCCCTGGTAGGAGGAGGACAGTGTGTGTAGGGGTTAATAGAGGGTGTGGGGGGAGTGACAGTGTGTAAGGATAGTGACATTGCGGGAGGGTGCTAGTGTGTGGGGGGAGGTTGGTAATATTTTGTGTGGGGGGTGTGTGGAAGTAAGTGACAATAGTGTGTGGGGAGGCTGTGGTTTAGTGACCAGCCTCTCCACTTTGAAATACCCTTTTCTTAAAAAAACAAGTGAGTGGAGAGGCCGAACACCCAGCGGCATACAAAGCAAGGCATCAGACCCTCAGTCAAAGAACCGAGTACCCGACAGATCAGTCTGCCCTTAGACAAGTAAGGCGGACGCAAGGCCTTAATCGGCGGCCTAACTCGCCTAATTAGAGAGCCGTCTTTGAATACATCTTCTTTTTTTTTTTTTTTAATTCTTTATTTTATTTGACAAAGTATTATAGAACAAGGCAAGATGTTCCGGTTTAAGCATAAACCGTGGTCAAGTATAACATAACATATTACAGCATAGGCATACAGTTGATAAGCGTGGTAGACATCTTATGTTACAATAAGTGCCTGTAGCACAGGACTCTTTATTAGGGGGCTTGGACATCACTTTTGTGCTGTCAATTTTTTATTGTATATTGAGTCAGTTACAGGTGGCCAGAGCGTGAAGGTGGGTTTCTGTAGGCATTCGGTGGTGCCTATCCTAGCGCTATTGGAGGGTTTCGGGGTACCGTTGGGCGATGAGATATCTCTTAATGATGCTGTGGAGTCTCCAACTATGTTAAATACAGGTGACGGCCCTTCTGACTTGTTCCAGCTGCAAATTGTCCCCTGTATTGTGGAGCCCGCGTTCAACTCCTGCTTTGTACTAGATAGAACTGAAATACATTTTGGCCTGACTGGGCCCCCCTCCACTCCCTGGCGCCTACCTGCCTGGCGTGTGAATTCGTGCGTGTTTGCGCTGATAGTTCGCTTCAGTGTGCTATCATTGCCTGCGTGTGCTTAATGTGTATATTGTATCAAGCGGGCCCTCGTCTAAGGCGAGGACCCGGGTAAGAAGATAAGAGAAAGGTAGAGTGAAGATAGAAAGGAGGGTGGGGGGGTGGGTGGACCAGGCGCCCGGGCAGGCGGGGGGAGCCCAAGGGGACGGGGGGGGGGGAAGAAGGAGGCGGGGAGAGGGCGGCGGGAAGGGGGGAGGGCACCAAGCAGACTAGCATCTTCCACCTCTCGGACCCCCCGGGCCGCGGCCCCGCCAAGCGCAAGGACGGTTACTCCGCCAGGGGGCAGTCCTTCCAGCGTCCCCACGTCCTTTCGAAAGCCTTTTGAGTACTGCGCACCCTTGCTGTGAGGTCGTCCATTAGGCAACTATCTTTTATTCTCCCCAGGATCGCTGCCCTGGTGGGGGGCTGCATTTTTAACCAGCGTTGTGCGAGGGCTCGTCTGGCCGCCAATGTGATTTTGTTGAATAGTTTTAGGTCATATTTGGGCCATTCGTCAATAGGTCTGCCCAGGAGGTATGTCCACGGGTCAAGGGCGGGTGCCCTCTGGAATACCTGTCCCAGTATGTCTCTAACGTCCTCCCAGTACCTGCGGACGACGGGGCACCCCCACCACATGTGGATGTATGTGCCCCGCAGACCACAGTTCCTCCAGCAAAGATCAGTGGGTGTCTTTCGCATGCGATGGAGTTGTACTGGGGTGGTGTACCATCTAAAGAGGGTCTTGAAAGATTGTTCCTGGAAGGAAACACAGATGGAGGAGGCGGCCGCCGTCTCCCAGATATCCTGCCAATCCACTCCCTCTAATACCTCACCCAGGTCCCTCTCCCATTGATCAGTATATGTGAGGTTGCCCCATTCTTTGGTTTCTGAGCATATGTGCGCGTATAACAGCGTGATTAGGCTTCTGGGAGATTGCTCTCTAAGGCATATGTTTTCAAAGAAGGTGGGGGATGTGAGTGCGGCCTTTTTTGTGTGCGGTTGCCTGGCGTAGTCTGCGATCTGGAGGTATCGGAAAAAATCGGCCGGGGTTAAGTGGTGTCCCTGCTTTATGGTGTCAAATGGGATGATGGAACCCTCCACATATAGTTGGCAAGCTCTCTGCAGGCCCGTATGTTCAATGTTTCTGAAAGCTTGTGGCACTAATCCAGGTGGGAAGGCCCTGTTTCTGAGATAGGGCATGAGGGGGGAGGGGGAGGATGACAGCCGGTATTTCTGAGATGTTTGATCCCAAATGTGAATGGAGTTGGTGATGGCCGGGCAGGCTGTCCGCAGTATGGGTCTGGAATCCTTTGGTACCCAGATAAAGTATTGTGGGAGGTCGGAGCCCATGAGGAGAGATTCCAGTTCTACCCATTTCCTCGTGTCTATAGGGGAGTGCCACATTGCAATCTGGGCAAGCTGGGCTGCTAAGTAGTAGTTATGTAAGTTGGGAAGGCCTAGACCTCCCGTTCGTTTTGGGCGGTATAGCGTGTGCCTCGACACCCGATGTCTTTTATTTTGCCATATAAAATTGCCGATGGCTCTTTGGAGGTGGGCCAGGTCCGTTTTTGCGAGCGGGAGGGGAAGGGCTTGAAATAGGAAGAGGATTCTAGGGAGGAGATTCATCTTAATGGAGTGAATCCGGCCCATCCATGAGATGGGCTTGTCGACCCAATTCTCCATGTCTCTGATAAGAGTAGTTATCATGGGGGGGTAGTTGTATTTGTGCATTTTGGATGGGTCTGAAGTCAATTGTACTCCCAAATAGGTGATTGAGTGGGTTGCTATGTGGATGCCATGAGCTCTATGTATGTGAGTTATCACGTCTGGCGTTAACTCTATTGGTAAGGCACTGGACTTGGCCATGTTGGGTTTGTACCCTGAGAGTGGGCTAAATATTGCTAGGGTCTCCTGAACAGCCCTCATGGAGGTGATCGGAGACGTGAGGGAGAGGAGGACATCATCGGCATACGCCGAGACCAGGAACTTCCGTCCCTGAACCGTTATTCCCTGGATATCAGGATGAATGCGTAGCGCCTGAAGGAGTGGTTCCAGTACCAGAGCGAATAGGAGTGGGGACAGCGGGCAGCCCTGCCTCGTGCCGTTGGACAATGGGAAGGGGAGCGTGTGGGTCCCAGGGATGCGTATCTGTGCCGAGACCCCGTGGTATAGCGCTCGTATTGTCGCAGTATATGTGTCAGGGAGTCCTAGGTGGTCGAGGAGAGTAAACATATACGGCCATTTCACCCTGTCAAATGCCTTTTCAGCATCGAGTGAGACTATGAGGGTGGGGGTCTTGTTAGTGTGTTGTCGCCAGATGATGTCGCAGTTCTTGCGCGTGTTTTCGAATAATTGCCTCCCTGGGATAAAACCCACCTGATCGGCATCTACTAGTTTGCTGAGGAAAGGGTTGAGTCTGTCTGCCAGTATTTTAGCTAGTAGTTTCGCATCATGATTAATGAGCGATATTGGTCTGTAATTCCCCGGTAATTGCGGGTCCTTGCCCGGTTTCGGGATCAGTACTATGTCTGCTCGAGTGAGGTCTCCGTCAGGGAGGCCCCCTGTCCGGAAGTCGTTGAATAAGTTCGTCAGGTGGGGGGTTAATGTTTCTCTGAAGGTTTTATAGTATCTGCCGCTTAGTCCGTCCGGGCCTGGGGCTTTATTACCATGGAGTTTTGAGATGGCTCTATCTACCTCGTCTATTGTGATCTCCGAGTCGAGAGCGGCTGTCTCCTCTGGGGACAGTTTGGGCAGGTCTAGCTGTCCTAGGAATGCGGCTGTCATCTCCCTCTCGCTCGCCCATTGCGATGTGGTGGTCGGGGAGTGGTTATATAGGGATCTATAGAACTCAGTGAAGATCGAGGCTATGTCGGTTGGGGCTGTCTTTATTGTTCCGTCCGGATGTTTCAGTGCTGTGATGTGGTGGCGTGTTTGTCGTGGTCTTAGGGTGCGGGCTAGGAGAGTGTCCATCTTGTTAGCCTGCTCGTAGTAGGTCCATTTGGACCAGAGAAGGCTACGGGCTGCGTCGTCGAGAAGCAGCTCCCTAACGGCCCGCCTAGTCGTGTCTAGTTGGGCAAGTGTGGTCTCCGTGGGGGAAGTCTTGTGGCACTGTTCCCTAGTGCGTAGGGAATCCATGAGTTCGCGCAGGCGTTGTGTTTTTGCTTTTTTCTTGTGGGTGGCGAGTTGGATAAACGCGCCTCTGATCACCGCCTTATGCGCCGCCCAGAGTGTTCCCTTGGTTAAGTCGGGGGAGTCGTTGGTGGTAAAATAGAAGGACAGCTTCTCCTGTATGGAGGCTACTGCCTCGGGATCATTTAAAAGGGAGGTATTGAGCCTCCACGTCCATGGGGGGGCTGTACCTATGTGCTGGATGCTTAAGTGTATGTCCGCATGGTCCGACCATGTGATAGATCCAATGCTGCTACGTGCGACTTTGGGCACTGTGGCGCTATTTACCAGGAATAGATCTATTCGGGAGTATGTGTGGTGGGGGGCCGAGAAGAAGGTGTAATCTGTGTCTCCGGGGTGCTGTGCCCTCCAGATATCTATGAGTCCCATTGCCCTGATAAATTTGTATAACGCTTTGTCCGAAGCACCCCTGCCCTGTGATCGTGGCTGCCCCGCCTTCGCGCTTCTGTCTGCTGCTGGGCACGGAGCCGCATTAAAATCGCCACCTAGGACCTGCATGCCATGTGAGAGGGACTGAACCTTCCCCTCCAGTAGGCCCAGAAATCCCCCTCTGGGGTGTTGGGAGCGTACACGTTTATAAGGTGTATAACTTGCGTGTTTAGTGTGCCGGAGAGGATAATGTATCTGCCGTTGCTGTCTCCCTCTACGGCTGAGACCCTGAAGGGGCAGTCATGTCGAAGCAGGATTGCTACCCCATTGCGTTTGTTTACTGCTCTAGCCTCATATACTGTATTGAACGTATGGTCCCTAAGGGTGACTGTGGCTTGTTTGGGTAGGTGGGATTCCTGAATAAAGGCAATATCGGGGCGCATGCGTTTTAAGTCTCGGAACATTAGGCGTCTCTTTTTGGGGGAGTTCAGTCCCTTAACATTTAGGGAGGTGATATTTAGTGTCATGGTCGTGTCTGTCCGGCCTCGCTAATGTCCCGTCCCCGCCATCCGCCCCCCGCCAACCCCCCCCCACGAGGCCCCCCACCCCCCCAAGCACCCGGTCCAAAGAGGAGAAATGAGAACAGGCGGGTAGGGGGAGGGTGAGAGCAGAAGGGGGGGAGAGTATAAGAGGGTAGAGAAGAAAGAATAAAGGAGGTAGTAAATAGAGTAAACATGTGTCCCTGGTCTTACCATCTGCCAGGATCCTAGGAGGGTTGTGTGCCGGTCCTTCCGGCTTCGTGTTTTAGTACGGGGAGTACCGGTCGATCTTCCCGTCCCTAATTCCACCGCCTAAACTGTTTTCTTACCTATTGCCAGTGTTATCAACTAAGTTGGGCCGAACGTCTATGCTGTGAGCCTGAAAAAACCCAGATGACCCTAACTAATACTCCAGAGGGGGTGGGGATCGTATGAGGGTGAAAAAAGGCATGGGGGGCAAGGGACGGGGGACGGGTACCCGGAAAGAACAAATAGCGAGTGTGTGCTGTGGGCATCATACCTGAGGGCCCCTCTGCCCGGGTCACCCAGCCCGCCTATCTGGCCTTAAGGTCCCCGACATCTCCGGGACCCCCTCCCCCAACCATCAGGACCCATCGGGCGTGCTTGTCAACATGGGAAGGGAAGGCGCCTGATCCGCTACAGGGGAATATGGGTCCCAAAGTCATGTGCCTATCCACAGGCTGCCCAGAGGCCCCGCTCTCCTCAACCCGGCCATCCCGGGATGTCTCCATAGGGTCCCGTCTCCCCTCCCAATCACTGCAACACCCCCACTCCCGTAGCACTCCATGAATACATCTTCTTTTGTACCGGTCCTGAAATGGAGGTAGGGTATTTTATATCGCACTACAGTAAAACGGGTTTTCACTAACGTGAAAGTGAATTTCAAATTTAAGACCAATATAGCTGAACTGAAAAAAAAATAGCTGCCTGAGAAACTTTCTAATTCAGCTATTTAGGTCTAGAATGTGAATCACTCTTCATTTCTGACAATACACCCACTCAATGGTGCTGGACATCAGCAAAGATCAGTCACTTTGTTTCATACATTTACTCTCAATAAATGTTATTTGGCATATTTTGCTAAACAGAATAATGCAAAAAAATCAATTATTCTCTAATTTAAAAAATAAATAAATTATTAATGCACTAGGGATTAAACTAATAATCCTTAGCCATGTATCTATGGGAAAGTCAGTTATTTTCTAGACTAACTCCCCCGGGAGCAATACATGGTTAAGGGGCTTCAGTGGCTCCTCTTAAATCATGCCAATGCCCCCAGCAATATATATGCTTTAATCCCAGTCTCCCCTCCCTTACTAATTTAATACACCATGTGTGCGGAGGCTTGTTTGGAAAAGCTCCTTAGGAGTCAGTACAACTAAAAAGCAATAATGTTAAAAGAAGGATTACGCACTGGGTAAAGGGGATTTTAATCATTTATTTTTAGCTTATTTATGGTACTGTCAGACTAATGGCTCACAATGTACAACGCATCTTCATTCATATTATCATCTGATATGATACAAAATGGAACCGTAGCTTTGTCAATATTAATTCATGTACACTGACTAAAAAGGCATGAGCTTACAATCTAGGAGTATGAATTTTCAATATTTTTTTATTCTCACTGCCTAACGCATTTTTTAGGGTTTAAAATCCAGTAATAATTTCCTTCTGTCTTGATATTTTGACCTAAAATGAGCAGTTTCTTTATATTCTCAATCATTTCCTGTTTAGTAAATAAATAATAACATCAGGGCACTCTTAGTCCTGCAATGTAATAAATGCAGTTTCTCAAAAACTGCAATGATTTACACTGCAGGACTAAGGGGGACAGGGACATTGAGCCCAGACCACTTCAATGAGCTGAAGTGGTCTGGGTGCCTATAGTGTCCCTTTAATCGCAGCCTGTCCCCTCCCTCCACAGAATTCCCTACTCTTCCAACAGCCCATCTGAACGACACAGAAATCGAGTTGCGTTCATAAGAACCCAGAATCATTATGGCCCAGCTTTAAATTTCTAATGGGTATCTTTAGGGTTAAAGATGACTGAATTTAAAATACAGTGGATCTCTTTGCCAATAAAGCCAGTCTGAGGCAGATTAAATTTATTCTCACGTTCACCAATGCTAGGGTTTTCTGGAAATGAAATATCAGTGCTGGGTATATTGATGTACCCTGAGCTGTGACAATACCTGCAGGTATATACAATACTTCAATGGCGAGGGGTTCTTTAAATGTGACAGTCATAGTTTTGCTAAATCAGTGTTTGCTGTTTTATGTTGACATTATTAAAATGGAATTGTATGCATGCAATCTTTCAGATGAGATCTGTCATTTGTTTTGCATGCGATTAAAATGCTAACTCTAAATGTGATGCTTAACATGTCCCTCGGAGAGACTATTAATAGAAATGAATGTCCCTGCGTCCCCTGGTCGTAGTGTATAACAAACATGTGTGATCTCCCTGTCTGCCCTCTGCCCCTAATCAGTCAGTTCAGTACATGAACAGTTCTGGGGCTGTCCCTGGCAGATGGAAGGATTACATTTAGGGACGTTTATAACTCAAGACAGTTAGATGGAAATGTAAAGTACTCAGAATTAAGCGGCATTAACCTCTGCAATGCTGGTGTGGACTTATGTTATTTGTTTATTGAGGGAATACCTCCATTTATCACGTGTAATGAATATAACAATGGCAGTATGTCTTTCTGGACCACAATTATTATCCATTAATTTTAATTTATATAGTAGACTTGTGCGTTCTGTTTCAAACGAACTGTGATTTGTCTGAATTTTGGGTCAGCGGTTCGTCTGAAATTCCAAACTTCGAAACGGTACATGACTGAATCACGTAACAAAACAGACAAGTGTACTGCATTATAATATTAATATTTAACATTTATATTTTGCAACACACTAACCAATTTTTGCGCCCTTTTGGATTATCCTAATTTTTTTTGCAAAAATAATTACATGGGCATCATTTGTCTGACCGAAATGCCAAATAGAGGGTAGAGGATACCCAAATCTCCTATAGGAAAAAATTTTTTTCGGATGAATCGACTTAGATAAACCAAATCTTTTCACTGTGCAAAGCTTATTGTATAGTAATAAAACTAATTCTTCCCGGTGACAACATGCTCTCAGGGCACCAGGGAAGTTAAAGCTGATATAGATTGAAATTTTGTGGGAAGTTTTATAGTAACTTGCCTGAATCAATGTACTTGTGGAAACTATTTGAGACCTACTGAAAATAACATGGACCCCAGGTTTTACTCCTGACACTTGGGTTTAGAATGGATTGGCATCATGATATTAGGGACTGTTTCAACTGAGGCATTGGCTGTTACTTGTAGTTCAAAAGTAGAATACATCTGAGTCTTTATGCAATGCTTCCACCTTTATCATTTCTTTCTGTGTTGAATCAATGGACACTCTGTTAAATTTGGAAGTGCTGGTGTTTGCTGAAGAAGATGTAGCCAGACTGAGTTTACGCTTTACTTGAAATGTAAGGGATAATACTGCTAAAAAAGATGTGACACTTGTTATACTATACATCAAATGGGAGTAAATTAGACATTATTGTTTGAAAATGATTGAAACCTTAATGGGTGTAAACAGGGCTGCCATCAGACACAGCTCAAGGTCTGGGCCCCTTAGGACTCACCCCGAATCAGCCCACAGGGCCCATCCTGAGTCTTCCCTCAAGGATGCAGTGTGTGTGTGTAGTGAATGTGGTGTGTGCAATGCAGTGGATAGTGGATGCAGATCGTATGATTTTGTAATGATGTAGTGTTTATGTGTATTAGGTGCAGTGTGTGAAGTGGATGTAGTGTGTATAGTGAATGCAGAGTGTGTGTTTGTGTATTGGATGTTGTGTTTGTGTGTATTAGATGCAGTGTCTGTGCGTAGTAGATGTAGTGTGTGTATAGTTTCTTTCGATATATGTTATAAACCAGGGGTAGTCAACCTTTTACTACCTACCACCCACTTTTGTATCTTGGTTGATGGTAACATTTCCTTATTGCCCACCAGTGCAGCAGTAATTAATTTTATAGCGCAAGTTTTTTTGTTTGTTTGTACTAAAAGAAATATGTACTAAAGTTCTATTTTTTTCCTTTTTGTCTATTTTCTATTCTTTTTTCTATTTTTTTTTTCTATTTGTGTTTGTGAGGTGCTGTGTTTGTGTGTGAGAGGTAAAGTATGTGTGAGGGGGCAGTGTGTGGTTGAGGGATGCTGGATATGGGTGTGAGGTGCAGTATGTGTGTGAAGGGTGCACCGTGTGTGTATGAGTGTTGCAGTGTGTGTGAAGGGTGCAGTGTGTGTGTGAAGGGTGCTGTGTGTGTGTGTATGACATGAGGTAGAGGCACAAATGTCAGCAAACAAGGAAAGAAAAGGAGTTCTGCACATCCAGTTTGGTTGTGCACACCCAGGTGCTACTGTGGTTTATTTGAGGACACAGGATAAACAGACGTTTCGTGAACAAGCCCTTTTTAAATGCTATAGGATTATAGCATTTCTTTCCTTGTTTACATACAATGAACGGTTGGGATTTCTATGCACTGTACTCTCTAAATTTTACTAGAGAATAGTGCGACAAATAAACAAAACATCAAAACACCACGTAGGTAAAGAAGGCTAAAAGGAGTAGCCCAATTGTTTTTGCGGTTACACCACACATATTTAATCCTATCAGCTATGAACACGAAGACCAATCTCTAGAACGCTGCTTCCCAAACCAATCCACACAGCCCAGTAACAGTCCAGGTTTGTCACTATCTCTATTGAAATAGAAAATGAAAATACAATAAACCTACAGTTGTAGGTCACGAGAACTGGTTTGGGAACCACTGTTTTTGAATGTGATCATATTCAGGCAACAGAAGATTCCACTGCAACATGCAGATAATAGAGAGTAAACGTTTTAGAATGTATAAATCCATCCTGACATGTCAACACAACAGCTTGTGTAATCTGGAGAATGGTTTCCTGGAACATGTAGTTCCCTTAAAATAAATTAAAGGAAAAGTTGAGCGCAAGGACAATTTGCGTATCAAGCTCAATTGGAAATCCAGTGACTTCAGTAACAGCTCAGTTCCCTCTCATTCAATTCCAGAGCGGAGTATTTATTGAGGTCACTCCGCTAAGTTCAACTCGAGTGCATCTGATTTGTCCTGGATCTGACTGGGACTTAATGGCACTTAAAGAAACAAAGCGATTTTGGACTAGTTATTAAGCTGAAAATCCCGACTTAGACGATTGGTAACATTTGTATGAAATTATCCATTAAATTCTTCTGGATTTGGTGTAATTATCCAATATTTTTAACAAATACATAACATAATAATAAAACCTCCCCTATAATAGCAGCAATTTCAGTTACATGTGAAGCCTCCTCTATAAGATCTCCATGTTTGCCAAAAAGTTCTGTCTCAATCGGAAGCTCACTTGCAACAGGAAGCATTAATACTCTAGTTAAAAGGATCACTGTAGCCACTCAGTGGGTTGCGATCCAGTTTCTGCAGCATCCGGTGAAACTGCAGGTTTAATTTGTGTTTTGGTCAACTGTATTCACCAATCTGAGGTTTATAAAATCAGAGCCTTCGAACAGAGCAATAATAAGAATACCAACACCTCAGGATGTACCTGGAATGTAGCAATATGAAATGTACTCATTCTGATACAGCATAGCAGCTAGGTGGACCCAGTGATGTAATTTAGCTATCATAGGCCCTTTATTACTAGCACAATAGACATACAGATACTTTTGTCAATTTAATACACTTAAAGGGACTTTCCTGAACTCTAAAGCACTTTGACTTGCTCAAGTGCTTTATGTGTGACGAGTGTGCACTCTTTTCTTTCATTTTACAAAATATGCACATTTCAGTAGAAATTGGCACGTTTATAAATTAACCTGGTTACACCCCCCGACTCCCCCTCCCGGCCGTCAGTCTTAAACACTGATCCTGTTACTTCCTAGTTGTTAAGCTCAATGAGGATAAATTGAGGCAGAAATTGCCCAGAGCACCAGCTTTGCAAAGATTTCTCATTAAGCTGCATTAGGAAGTCTGTGATTGGACAGTCATTTAAATTCTGGGCGGGGTTAGAAGGGGAGGGCTTGCAAAGGCAGCAGACAAGAGATTTGCAGCTTTTACAAGCTGTTTTTATTTAAACCCCCCTGATAAAAAAATGCATTGTTTTCACTGGGGTATATCTACTAAACAGTGATTGGGCAGTGGAGTGACCCTTTAATTAGCCACATACCTGTATCTAATCTGCCACTCTCACTAAATTACACAATCACACTCATTTGCACAGCCATGCTAAATTAGAGACAATTTCATGTTAATTTCACACATTGGGATATTCAAGATTTTTATTTCTTCAGTCTCATTTCTACACATTGTCAGATCTATTTAGCAACATCTATCTGATAATTCTACAATTACAACTTTTGATTGTGCAAAGGTGATAAATAATTGACCAGATGTTTTAAAAATGGCGGCTGCCTGATTATATGCTCCTATGTTTTATTGGGCCCAGCTTGCCCTCAGCCCAAAACCCTCTTGAACCAGAAGGTATTTGTCCTGTTTGCCCAATTGCCAGTCATTTGTTTTGTTTTTCTTCCCATAACTGCAATCACACTGCTATCACAAGATCAAACACCTTCATATGAAGGGCAGAAGCAAAAATAAAACGGCACGTGTTCGGTTCTAAAAATAGTGCAGAAGCAAACGCTGCTACAATAAATAAAAAAAAAAATAAAAATGGTTCATCTGAAAGTAAATGTATGTATAAAATAAATTAGAACTCACACATTTGCAGCAACAATAAACTCAAGCATGTACAAGCAGAAGTCCAAACAATTTATTTGAAACACTTTTGTAACTTTTTCTTAAAGCAGCTATGTCACCGTCTGAGGACTTTGTATAATTTGTAAAAAAAAAAAAAAAACGGGACATCATTACTGGTGAATCCAGTGGCCAAGGGCAGGTAGGGATGAGTTTAACTTACCTGAACCAGTCGTTTACGTGCGCCACCGTCTTCTTCCAGCCGGTCCTATTTTGCTCCTGGAGCTCCTGTGCATGCGCGAGAGTACAGCATTAAAGGACCACTATAGGCACCCAGACCACTTCAGCTTAATGAGGTGGTCTAGGTGCCTGGTCCATCTAGAGTTAACCCTTTTTTCTATGCCGCGCATGCGCATTCAGCCGAAGAGGAGGAGAAGAGGGAGGAGAGGAGGAGGAGAGCTCCCCGCCTGGCGCTGGAGAAAGAGGTAAGTTTAACCCCTTCTTCTCCATCCAGCCCGGCGGGAGGGGGACCCTGAGGGTGGAGGCACCCTCAGGGCACTATAGTGCCAGGAAAACGAATATGTTTTCCTGGCACTATAGTGGTCCTTTAAAGTCTATGGAGGATAGAGAGAACCTTTTCCTTGCAGCCATCACTGTTGATGGCTGGAAGATTGACAGTTCTAGACAGTAGTAGCTCCGCACAGTGTCTAGAAGTGTCAGGCGTGAGTGAGTCCCTACTTTGTCTCAATATATCTTTTGACTGGGTTGGAATTTCAGTGAAATATTAACGCAGTCAATATGAGTATTTCATAAAGATTACATCTTTATCAAGTATTCATTTCGGGGTGGGGGGTGACAGTGATGCCACTTTTTTACTAGTCAATATTCACCTTACTTACATTTACATATGCTTTTTTAAAATGTTATTTTCCAAAGTTTTCTCATGAACATGCTTAGTGCAAGAAATAACTGCTTTCACAATAATATTCAGTGTAGGATAGGCTAAAATAAGCCTTTAAAACTAGCTTCTGGTAAATGTCACAGAATTAGTGGCCAACCAGTCTTTTGCACTATTACCTTAAATCCACCTCAAACTACCCAATGTTTGATATCTCACAATGCCACACATTTTCCAACATCCATAGTACGTTAATGGAATGCCCTTTAAAGAAGCAATGTCATTTTGCTGGTGCAGTTTTTTAATTAATTCTTTTTTTGTCCCATTTCTTTTTTTCAATTCATTGTAGAATAAGTCTGATATTTGGCCATTTGCTTTGCAATAGGTTAGTCTTGAGCTAAGTTCCATTTCAGTCAGTTGCTAAGCGAATTTACCCATAATTCATCAGTCAAAAGAATCCTACAGAAGTGAAAACCGCAGACGTCATGGGCAGAGAATAACAAAATGGTGGCGCCCAGGTATAAAAATATACATCTATCTTGACCTGGTATCTCGGATGTATGTTGTATCTCAGTGGTACATTGTAGCCTAGTGGTATGTTGTACCATACCTCCCAATGTTGGGAGGCATGAGATCGAAATGGGTGGGTGAACAATGGGGGGGCATCACCAGTGACGCGATTCAGTTCACTAGTGACGCCCGTAATACGCAAGCCTGCATGGAAAAGGGGTGTGTGAGCCTGACATCAAGAACGTCAGGGTGATTGACAACCAGCATGGCCGACTCCCAGCAAACAGGACAGTGCAGAGAGCACTGCTAACGCACTCCTTGCATGATTATAGTGCCCGTTCACAGCACAAGTGCGTCTACACAAATCAAAATATGGACTGAGAATTTTCCTGCCGAAATGGGAATTGTTGGGAGACATGATGTACCTTGGCGGTATTTTGAAAATACTTTTTTCACATAGAAGTCACCTTCTCCATGGAACCACTGACCTTGCTATGCTTAGCTCTGTTATTGATGCCCGTCTAAAATGCCACGATCCATTATTTTTGGAGAAAATCAATTTTGCCCAATTTAGCAACTATCAAGGGCAGTGAAAAGGGACACCGTCACAATGAGAAGCGAAACCACATACCTGGAAAAAAAGATTAGTGGTGCTGATGGTGTGATAGGGACAGCATTGACACGTCACTGCCCTAATTAAATTCAACGCAGTCTGTTTTCTTCTAATGATAGAACACAGGCAGCACGGCATATTTTCCAAGCAGTTTATTAATGCAGTGTAATATTTCAGAAAATATTTAAGAAAAAAAAAACTATTTTTTCTCCTTTTACTCTCTCCCAAAGTTCACGTTTCTGGTATTCAAACATTTTAATTACATCAATAGTTTTTAAACTCAAATCTGTGGAATAAATTAATTTACATGAAATAATAAGGAATACAATAGCTAGATAGAGAGACGCTGTAACCGAACAGAATAAATAGGGTTATTTACTAAAGGAAGAATTCAAACTGAATTTCCAAATTAAGGCTGAAGTGGCTGAGATGAAAGCATTGCTGGCTGAGATAATGTCTTCAGGTACATTATCTGAAGACATTACGTTCTCACTTTATCAAATAATACTGTGCAGGCAGGTCCCACAACCTATTCAGCACCCAAACACGGTTTGTTTTGTCTGTTTGCTTTGGTTTTCCGGTAAACCCCAATTTCTTTGGATCCTATAACATTTATTACCAGAGTTGTAAGGTTTCTCTTTCACAGTAAAATGTATTGAATGGACACTAGTCTGTTTTTAATTAAAAAACTGAATTGCACAACTGACAGGAAGATTTACTAATGTGAGAATTTTAAATTTCCCGCTAAAGTAGCCCAATTGAAAGTATAGCTCACTTGGAGAATTTTTCTGGTGTGGCTATTGCGACCTTAAATTTGAAATTTACTTTGGATTCACTTTTAATTCTAACCTCAGTGAAAAACCATGTAAAGGCTAAAATATCTAAGACGTGACTATGATTAAGTTTGAGATTTTTTATATATACATTTTACAATTCATTTTTCATTCACTGCAATGGGGGGTTTAGGGAGTAAACCCCAACGTCTCTGCAGATTAAAAAACCTGCGTTAAAATCATTATCACTTGAAAAAAGAATTGTGGAAATTATTTGATGATCTCCTGTGTAACAGCCATTTTTGTCTAAAACAAAATCTGTGGCAATGTGCTAAACATTGGTTTCCACAGTGACTGGTATATTTCCCCCCTGTATAGTACCTGTTTTTTGCCTTGATAAATCCCAGTACAAACTAACGTTGGCCATCTTAACTACTGGCATGCCAGGCCAGACTTGCTAACATGAATTTTGCCTAAAACTAGTTATTAAGGGTTTCATGTACATTGGAACAAACATTATCATAAACACCCAGCCACTAATTATCCATCTCTCCTAAGGCCAGCAAATCACAGATTAATGAAGTCAATCCCTTAAATCCCATGTTGCATTTAATTTAGCTATAATTCAGGTATTTGTAAACATAGTGCACTTGTTTTATAAGTTCTGCCCTTTGCAACAGCCAGTCTGTACAGGGAGAAAACAGAGAGAGGAGTAGAAATAGAAACAACGATGATTGTCTATAAAAGGTATTGTGCTTCAAACAGTGGATCTAAAGTGCTAAAAATGGGGCAGTCACCATGGAAACCAATGGAATAAGAATGCACATTGCATTTGTGACTCCACCCATTTTCCATGTGTGCATCACTTTTCAGAACAGACATTTGTATACTTAACCGAGGTGTTTGTATGTCTCCTCCATGACAATGCGTGCCTTGGCTGTGCCAGGACTCAGCTGGATTATGATGTAAATTGATTAATCTTTAATATTATTATTATAACTGGTATTTATGTAGCGCCAGCATATTCCATAGCGCTTTACAATATTATCAAAGGGGGAGATTTAACAATAAATGAGACATTTACAAAAACTTACAGGAACGATAGGTTGAAGAGGGCCCGGCTCAAACGAGCTTACAGACTATAGGAGGTAGGGTGTAAAACACAACAGGACAGGAGGTAGCAATCAAACAAAGTGGGAGTGAAGTAGAGCTGGAGGAGAGAGTAGAGTGCTGCCCTTTAGGAGAGAGCAAGGGACAGGTATGTGAGGTGGAGGTTACTCTGGGAGGCCATAAGCTTTCCTAAATATAATTTAAAACATGCATCCCCTTTAAATATAATACATCTGGTTTCAGGGTATTAATAGCAGTAAATTCTAATGGATAATTATGCCCCCAGGTAACTCTTAAACTTTTTTTAAATTTTTTTTAAACAGGAACACAAATTATGTTTACTACATGAGCATGGACCCCATTCTTCCACGTGATGTAAAATTAACTCAGTGATTTATGGTACAGGTGAGATATATTTATTTATATATTAAAGTGCCAACATATTCCGCAGCACTGTACAATTACTTCCCAGTGCCAGAGGGTCTTCATTGTACAGGGCATGTCAGTGCTGCTGCAGTTGTTACCAAGCAATTGTGGGCAGCTGCATTGGAAGTGAGGAATATGATGTGCTCTATATAGACTAGGGATCAACTTAAATAGCATGGGAACCTAAATTTGGGTCCCAATTCTGGAGTTACAAACTATTGCTCAAAGCCAGGGTTTCAACCAACCTGAATGTCACATGTCTGAGGTTCGGCAGGACGATGCAGCGACAACGGAGCAAATTCACAAATAATATAACTGTACTCTAAATATAACCAGTTCACTAAAAGCCGCCAACCCTCTCTTATGGACTTAATAAACTACACAGACATGTTCTAATTTACTAAACCGTGAACTGTCTAGAATAGAAGACAAATTTGTAATTCCTTGCTCAGTTCTCCACAGTTCCTGCTTTAGTGAATAATTAGCCAATTTAATTAAGTTACAAAATGGAGTCTGGCCTAAATAACAGGACAGATGCAATATTTACCAGGACAGGGCAGATATCACTTCATTCTGAAGGGCAGTTTATGAATGTTACCCTGTGATATACAGCATTCAAATGCTGCAGGATTGATTAATCACTTTCCTACCTGTGATATTTGCAATGTACACATTACAAGATGTCACAAATCATGTGTTGCCTTTTAATTACATCTAAACCTGGCGTACAGTGGGAGTGAAGGAACGGAGTACTATAAACAACATCACAAAATGTATTTTATGTTCCCTGCTGGTGCATGTAAAATCAAATTACATACTGGGTTATTCACTAATCTGTGAACGGATGGAAACTAACCTGGACATTTCAAATTTTAGGCAATTTACACTGTAGTATATAACTCTGTCAGATTGAGCTGCTCTAAGTATCACAAAAATGTATTACAGAGAATTGATTTAAAAAAATAAAAAATAGTTATGGCAAACCAAAAATCATATGGCAAAAAACAAAAAGAAATTATGAACATTTCAATGGAAGTAATGACACAAGGATCAAATGTAGTCAAACACACAACAGGTGAGTTGAGATATATTTAAAATTATTATATCATTTATAAGATTCTTATATATTCAACCATGTTAACACTGTCTGCATTCTTACAAATGCTTTGGTTGATACAAACACTGCTGTATGATTTCGTTATACAGGCTACCCCTGTCAATATATTTGTACTAAAACCAACAGACTACAAGGAGAGAAATTGAATCCAAACACATAGAAACATAGAATGTGACGGCAGATAAGAACCATTCGTCCCATCTAGTCTGCCCAATTTTCTAAATACTTTCATTAGTCCCTGGCCTTATCTTATAGTTAGGATAGCCTTATGCCTATCCCACGCATGCTTAAACTCCTTTACTGTGTTAACCTCTACCACTTCAGCTGGAAGGCTATTCCATGCATCCACTACCCTCTCAGTAAAGTAATATTTCCTGATATTATTTTTAAACCTTTGTCCCTCTAATTTAAGACTATGTCCTCTTGTTGTGGTAGTTTTTCTTCTTTTAAATATAGTCTCCTCCTTTACCGTGTTGATTCCCTTTATATATTTAAATGTTTCTATCATATCCCCCCCGTCTCGTCTTTCCTCCAAGCTATACATGTTACATTCCTTTAACCTTTCCTGGTAAGTTTTATCCTGCAATCCATGAACCAGTTTAGTAGCCCTTCTCTGAACCCTCTCTAACCCTCTATAAAGCCAATAGTAAGCAAACAGTTAGTGACTTATTTGGATGATATATGAGAAATGTGTTTTAATTAAACACATTTAAAAATTTTAGTGATATGTTGAAATGCTCACTAGAACATGTTAACATTGTTTAAATATTTTAGCAGTTATGATATTTGGCCAACATATTTCCTGCTTTGTATGTAAAACAATGATATATCCCAGCATGCACATGGCCTTGGTTTTCCTGACTGACTGCCTTTCTATCCACATTTTTTTGTTTTTAATATATTTTAGAATTATTTGAGAAACAGGAAATAGGAGAGAGTTTCTCTTTGTAACATGTTGTAGACTACATATGAAAAACAGGAAGTAGGGTGAGGTAATGACCAAAATATTTATTCTGTATTTATTTTTTCACAGCAGGCTGACTAAAATGTATTAAAATATAATTAAAATGGCTGATCATTAAAACAGTAATTTAAATAATTTGGGTATGAATTTCAACAGTTTACTTTTCCCAATTCTCTAGTTGGCTCAGGATCAACTGGATTTAAACAAGCAGGGAGTATGTAAAGATAACGATGACAGAATGGAAATTTAGAAGGAAAAAAAACCAAAACAATAAATGTAACCCTTATATGTCCCTATATACCCTAATCCTAACAATCTTCAACATGGCATAAGTCTTGCCATTCGATATAGACATTCCTCTGCATATATTTTTGGATGGTATACTTTGCACTGGTTCTTAACCCCTTTATTTTAGTCGGCCCTCATGGAGTGAAAGATGCTCTTCAAATCACAAGTCGTGGCCACTGGCCAGTATGTTAGGTATTGTACGATAAGAGCTTGAACCCAGTGCAAAGAAAAAACTATTTCACAATTAAAGGAGTCAAATGTATTTTTTTTTTGTTTTTTAAAAAAATAATAATTTAAGAATTGGGCGCAAAGCTAATTTAAAAAAACAATCAAAGGCCATTTACATTATGTTGGTTCCTGCTAGAAAATAATAGGAATAACTTTAGTAAATGATTAATTGTTGTGTCACAAAGCATACTCTGTACTGTACATCATTTGGAGGGAGATACATTGGTTTAAATTCAGTTTTCAGCTGTTGTAGTTTGAATAAAGGGTCTTCACACATTTAAACGTTATATGATAGTATATGCTGTTTGCCTGGTATAGTATGTCAAGATATACAGTCTTCACTAGTTATTATTTAATTAATTGTACATAACTCATTATATATACTCATGTGTACACAAATACACACATACACACACATACATAGAACACATCAAATATTCAAAACATGTCTCTATGCCATTCACTATTGCTGATCTCTGCCATCTCAATCCACACAAATATATATATTTACATTGATTTCCTATTTTAAAGACAAAGCAATGCCAGTCATCACATCAAACAGTGACCAACAATTATCAGAGGGAAATAGAACTTCAGAGTCCTCACACCTAATACTGACAATTCTATCGTCAGAATGCAGAGAGCTCTCTATAAAGTCTGCTTTGGCAGAGAGAGGAGGCAGTATGTAGAAGGTTGGTCTATATAACCTGGTGTGTTGGGTGATAGGGCAAGCATGTTTTAATCAATACAAGCCTACAGGTCACTTACTTCTCTTCCAAAAGCTGCTTCTGGTATTCTTCATACTCTTCCCTAGTCATCCCTTGTGCTTCAGCCGGAGATTTTTCACTTTCCCCCTTCTCTTCTCTGACCCCTAGACCTCCTGTGAGGTTCTTCAGCTGACCTCCCACCATAGTCTTCACCATAAAGGCCATGATCGCTGGGCACTCAGGGCTTTGAGCCTGGACTTCACAGGGTTTTCTGGGCTGAGTGAGGCTCCTGTGCCACTTACAGCTCTTGTTTTGTAGTCTGAGGGTTCAAGCGCAGGGAAACCAACCTCTGGTTACCATCACTATACACGCAACACCTTTACTGTCCATGAAATCTCTTTATAAGATCTTCTTCTAAATACAGTATCTTCCAGCAGAGGATCAGACCCCCCTTGCTGTTTCTGCAGCACTGTCTGTTAATGGAAGTATCCCAGGGTTTTGAAAATCTGTTCTTATCTTCTTGTTACTGTTACTCTTATGCTTCGTCTTTGATTCAGCACTACAGTTTTGGACAGCTCCCCCTTCCACCCCCCTCCAGCAGCAGCTTCTGAGACTTTCCCGAGTAGGGAGGGGGTGAGAAGCACAGGAGTCACAGCTAAAATAGGACCTCACACCACAATCAGCCCCTTCTGTTGAGTCTGGCTTACAGCATGAAAGCCATTGGCTGTGCTAGTAAAGTCACTTAGCAATTCCAATCTGTTCACATAGATCAGCTGGGTGATCCCACGTTTAAGAAACAACAGACACACACACATCTATTCCCATTAGCTGTGAATCCTTCAAATCCCTATTCTTCTCTCCCTCCCAAGCAGCCCATTTAGAGCCTGTTCCCCTATTCTAAAGATAGCTTCAACTTGTTCACAAACACAACGTCAGAAGAAGGCCACATGCTCCATCAGATGCGCCGCTGAATCCCAGTTATTATTTTCTGCTGTCATGTAGGGGGTTAATGCCATCAGCATTAAGGACAGTTATCGTGGCCTGGAGCTATCACGCTCTCACCTTTTACTGTGGGATTCATGCTGAGCTCTAAGTGTGAAACCTTCCAAGAACCTTGGAAACGTGATACAATTATCACCTCCAGATGTTGGGATTCTGTGCCATGCCACAGATTCAGCTGACAGTGTGGCGGAATGTAGTGATATATAGGATATTCATAAATAAGAGGGTTTTATCGTCAGACGTGAAATCTCACAATATAGGGTGTGTGAACTTTCAATTTACAGAGAAAACAGCAATAAAAGGAAGTGCGTGATATAAGAAGAGACACCATACTTCTAAATCTTGACTGCTAACCCATAATTCCCTTCAGCCGTGGCCCCCCAATAAAACTCTGGACACAAACTTAAGAGGATAAGGGCAACAGCCACAGTTTTTTTTTACTCAGAAATACAATCTTAGTTAGTTAACCCTGTCAGCTGTTTAGTGATTACCCAACAGACAGTTCTGTTCCTACCAGTTTCAATGAGCCCCAAATAGCGGGCACTTGCCATCAGCTTTATGCAGACTGTCTCCCAAATTGACTCCATGCTGCAAATGCACTGTCCAGGAATCCCGAAAGTTGTGACAAAAGGAAAGATGAAAGAGGCACCACACAACAAACCTCTTCTACCATGGATCTTTGGTAAAGCTGGCATTACCAGCTGTATTGTAGACTGCTGAGATATTAACTGCAATAATGTCTCTCAAAACACCCTGTGATAGGCATGCTTGTGTTAAGCACTCTGGTGATGTGTAAGGTGACTGGGAATCCCTAATTCCGTAATCACTGATGCACAAAGATATAGTCCACGACATCTGAAGTGCCCAAGGTTGCCTACCATTGCCAAAGTATAAGTTAGAAAAAACAAGCTTTAATTACAGGGGAGTTGGGATTTTTTTTCCAGAGCTGCTAGTTTTTGCCTCAATGCTGTCATTCAGATTTGAACTGAAGTTCAACAAATAACGCTAAAATTGCGAATTTATGGGAAGTAAAAGTTCAGTTTAAATTTTAGGCTAAAACAGTTTAAGTGAAATTAACTTCAAGCGACTTATTTTTTTCCTAGTTTTGTTATTTGGTTTAATATTTGAAATTTACTTTGAATTAATTTTGAATTTCTGAATATTCCATCTGGAACTGTAAGCATTAAAGTTTGATACTACGTTTTTAAGCAGACCTGCAGTCAAGTGTAGATCATGCAGTGCACTTAATGCAAAGAAAAATGTTTACCTTAAAAAAAGTGCCTTCAGATGAGCCATAAACTGTCCAAAAGATGATTTCTTGGAGCAAAGAACAATTACAAAGTTAGGAATGCACAAATTTACATCTTGGTCAAGTGCATTTAGCCATGAGTGATCGCAAGATAAGATACTCATTAGGGATAATTTGTACATAATTAGGTATTTGCTGGTCTGTGAGTGTATAATTTTTAGTTATACCCTTTTTATGTTTTAATTCCACTCAATGGCCTTCTTTTTTGCATTTTCAATTTATTTATGATTCATAATTATTTAGATAATTATCTTTTTGAATCTTTATTAACTCATTTTAAAAATGTGTGTGTTCTGAAGAGAACACCAAGCAGTGTGTATCAAAGGTATTGTGCATTTTTAAGGGACGCATATATTTGTAACACCAGTTATTATCCACTTGTAAGGACGGTTTCGGAAGGGTTACATTGTAATTTGTCGATCTGTCTGTCAAGACTATTCTACAATTCTCAGTGTGTCGGGTGATTCCCATCTGCGTGAAGTTACCCATCCAAGCATGACAATCACAGTTGTGCTCATCTCCAGCCACAAACACACACACACATGCATACAAGATCAGTAACATACAGGCCCAGGTGTCTGTAGGCAAAAGATTCTCAGGCACCCCTTTTCTCTCTTTAAAAAAATTTAAATGTTTAATGTAAGGAGGACCCGATTTCTCCCAACAAAGTGTATATGCATGTTGACATTTGTTTGCAGAACAATGCAAAATTAAATTTAACATCTAAAGCCAAAGTCAACATCCACGTTGCTCCAGTGCTGCAAAGGAACAAAGCGCTCAGACAAAAATATAGTCTTTCCCACAACACCTGTGCAGAAGAATTGCAAATTGTTTCATGGCCTCTTTCCACACACCAAAATATTAGTTACAGGTAAAATTGCAATCCTGTATTCTAGCAACCAGGCATACATTGTATAGTAAAATTATTACAATTTAAAAGTCCGCTAATAACCTGCACAATACTGATACTATATTCTGTTTCTAGGAGCTATGCTGAATGCCCCAGGTGGAGACAGGGTCATGGGATAAAACGGGACCCCAAAGACTCTTCCAGGTCTGAGAGTGGCTGCTAGGTACTCTAAAAATGAGTATATACATACATGTGAATGAGTGATCCCTGTTTGAGTGAAGTAGAGAGTATTGTTTTAAGCCCCCATAGACCTCTCATAGTACCCTAGCTGATGGAAGAGTGGCCTTTAATTTAATGACAGTGATCTAGCTACTTTACATCAGCCTTCGGGAACAGTAAATAGCAAATCAAGATTTCCTAGATTCCAATTAAACACACAGCCACCATGGGTGATTTTCTAGAACACCTCCAAGTTTTAGAGAAAAATAAAGGGAACATTTACCCTTAAAGTAATAAATCATACACTGTGCGTGACACTTTTAAATGACAAACACAGTTAGATGACAAACAATCCAGTTAGTAGCCGATTTGTAACTGTGAATTACTAAATTCCAAGTAAAACATTCCCTTTTTATGTGCTGCTTGTAATATTTTGTAGGTGACAGTAACTTTAAACATGCAAGGGTGTGTGAAGGGTGTGTATGTGTGTGTTTACATTCATTCATACATTTTTTCCTGTGTTTAGGTGAATGTACGAGTATTGTGTGTGTGAATGTGTATGGATGTCTGAAAGTGTTTGCACGTCAGGTTTTAAAAGGACCAAGTAGCAGCAACCCTCACAAGTCCATTTTTTTTTTTTAGTCATATAAGCATCATTACACATGGCTGCCAAAATGACCTTATTTTCAAAGACACTGTTGCTTAGCAAATCAGTGAACAGCTCATTGAATAATTAATCAGCTAAGAGCTCACACTTGATATGTTTGTGTAGACCACCGCCTCTACCCCCCCTTACATGCCTACATTTTCCACTCACACATAACCCCTCCCTTCACACCCCCACACCCCCCCCTCCCCCCCCCACACACACACTCTCTCTCTCTCCTTTCAGTGAGTAAAAGTGAGCTTGTTACCAAAAGACACATTGGATAACATTGGAGTCTGTTTTTTATTTTATTTTATTAGTATCAGATAATACTAGCAATCAAAGAGTTATTATAGTCTGGATATGTAATAACCCTCCAATTTAATGATACATGTTTGTCTTTAGTGATTGTGTAATATAGACGATTATGAGTCCTAAATTGGAATCCTGAAAGGCCAGTGAAAGGTCAAACTCTAAAGACATTTTCTTTTATCTGTAACAGCCAATGAAGGATTAAACCCATTGACTGATCCACTGGGCTCTCCAGTGATTATTTAGAACAGCTATAGAATATCAGCATTTATATAATGCTGGCAGCCAGAGAATTATAGGGATTGGAGTTCAAAAACAGCTGCAGGACTGTAACTGAATACTCTTACAATATACATATAGTATATAACGCACTAAAAACTACAGACTCATGACTGTGATTGCAGCATAGATGGAGACTGATCTACTACGTGCCTTAGGCAGAAAACAACTAAATCCTTTCAAGTCACTCTGCTAAGGACAAACGTTAGATACCTAGCTGTCTCACAGACCTACAACTCACACAATGCCTTGACAGAGGTGTTTGCAAGTTACAAAAATACCAGGTGTTCCATCCCAAAGTAAAACATGGTGTACAAGAAGGCCTCACCCCAGCCCCAAACATCTCTCCTGTATCCATCCCTAAACACACACTTATACAAAAACAAGTATAAAGATACATTCATGCATCCAAACAGACTCAAGAACACAGGCAAGCACTTTTAGAGATGCAAAGACATACATACAGACAAAGAGAAAAATGCAGCCCTTTTAATGAATATTCTGGCACAGAGTGTTATATAGAAATGCACTCATGCAAGCATTGAGACATACAGTCATGCACAAAAACAGACACACAGATACATCCATGCAGACAGAAATACTTATTCACAGAGAAATCCAAACAGACATACAGTCACACACAAAACACCCATGCCCAAAGACACACAGTCCAGAAACACATTTTCGCCCGCTCTCTCTCTCCATCTCTGCCCTAATTTTTTGTGTCTGTTTCCGTCCCTAGCACCCCATGTTTGTATTTCTTTTATTACTCCTCTAAATTTTATTATAATGTCCAGTCAGCTACTTCTATGCTTTTATTTTTTTAATTTACAGTTTTTTAGTTTTTTAAACATATATAAACCAGGGATTATGGTTTCCCATGGGTAGCGTGCAAAGTTCTATATCAGTTACTAAGATGATTTAGTCAAAAGAATCCCATGGCAAACGGTAAGCTTCATGGACTTGACAAAATGGAGGCATCCCGTTATTAAGACCCAACACACACAAAAACAAATAAATTTAAATAAAGACAAGTGGCAAAGAGGAGATTAAGATCATCATTAAGATGTAAGGGCCATAAGGGAAGGAGACATGAGAAAGAAAACATGGCAGAGCTACTTTAAGTATGCTATTTGTCTGCACTACAGAACTAACTAGGGAAGATCACATTACATACACACAGTCATAGGCTTTGGAAATGTTTTATTTGGAA